ATAGATGGATAATGCGATGATTGACTCTCACAGTTAAGGGATGAATACTGTGTGATTATTAAGAGAAGCTTGATTGATATATAATTATGTTATTGTAGTCTGCTGTTTAGATGTCCCCCGTTCACCCCATAGTCCCCTTCTCTCCCCTCTGTCCTGTTTCCCTCAGAGAGTCTGAGTCATCTAGGACAGGTAGAAAGAAGGGGTGTACAAAAGCTTGTTGCTGGGGGGGGAACAGGTGCAGCATGAGAACAGCTGACCCTCGAGTCAAGTTGCAAGAAAGCAGGCTCCAGCAATAAACACAAAGAAGGGCTGAGTGACAGACTTTGGGAGGGGCCAGGTTTAGCTGATGCAACCCCCAGGGTATCAGAGGTGAAGGATCCATCTTGAAGATCAGCCAGACACATGGTGGGCAGCCATGAGGGAAGCTCCCAGGCCTGCTTCTGATTATTCAGTCCTTTTGTTGCATTTTTTCTTTAAGGTTTATTAACCATTTAAAATTTAAAAAAGTGGGCGGTTGTTTCTCACAGGATGTGAAGGCTGGCACACAGGATGACAAACATGGCAGGAACTAGTGCAGAAACAGATAAGGAGGCCTGCAGTGGTTTTGGGGGAAGCAACAGTGCATGGCCAGAGGAAAAGTTCAAGGCAAGGGCACCTTTAATATGGCAGCATTCATTGAATATGACCACCAGAGAGACCGTGCTTAATAAACCTCCAGGATCATGAAAGGACTTGCAGGAGGAGATGGATGCATGGAAATGAGTTCTAGGAAAATGGTGTTTGTGTATTAGAAAATAAAAACTTTTTAATGCCAACATGTGGTTCTAATGGATTAATACCCTGTTGTAAAGCCTCACCATACACACAATACAAGGAGAGATCCCTCTGTGTCCTGTACAGGTCAAGAATTCCTGCTTCCTCATGCTTTGCATTGTGTTAGAAAGTTTGTTCTGGCCCATTTCAGTGTTAGTACACAGACGGGATGCACAGGAGAAGAGAGAGGAGCTGGGGAGGGCCCTGGGGTCAGCGGGAGAGGGTGGCAGGAACAGAGCAGCTGCTGCAGGAGAGGAAGGTGGGGTAGGGAGGAAGGCCAACATTCCACTGACCTGTTCCCTGTGGGGCAGCAGCAGGCAAAGGGCTCTGTGCAGATCAGCGGCGCTTCCTGGTACCTCTTGCTCCTTTGGGATCCATGTCCTAAAGCGGCTCCTGGCAGGTCAGGGACACGAAGGAGAAAGTGCCCAGGTCACCAGGAGCTCCCCATTCCCGTCCTGCTGGCTCCTTTCTGTGCCCTGTCTTGGTGTTGTTTTGCAAGGCATGGCGGGAGAGTCAGAAATTTAATCTTTGACTACGTCAGAATTTCCCTTCCTGTGAGTTTTTTGTCTTGACGTTTTTTTTCCTGCCATAGCGGAAGTAGCCTGACATGCAGATTTCTTTGAATGAAATTTCCTCCTGATTAGAAACTCTTTTCCAAATGGGACATTCTCCAAATGCTTCCCCTCTCTCTGCAGCTTTCTACCATTCCTCATTTATCTACCCTGAGGGGTCACTGTCCCTGCAGCAGCAGAGAGCTGCTGGTGGGGCTGGTGGTGCTGGAATGCTGCTGGCAGTGCTGGAAGTGCTCACAGCACTGTGCAAGCATCTGGGTGCTTCTCAGAAACACCTCCCATTCTGGGTTGATTTTCAGGATCATTGCCAAAACCTTCCCTGGCCCCAAGAAAGCAAACTGAGCTGAGAATTCCCATTCCTGTCATTGCAATGCAGGCTCACAGAGCCCAAGGGAAGGACAGCACTCAGTTGCTTGCAGCCAGGACAGCAGCACTTAGAGCCCACCCTAATTACTGTCAATCGCCTTGATGATGCAATAAAAGCTCTTAGGAACCACATTTTGGGGTGTTGTGATCCCCTTTCCAGCCCTTCATTAGGACTCATCCTCCTCCTCCTTGCACTTTGGAGCTCTCGCGTTTGTTTTTACCTGACCCCATCCCTCTGGGCAACCTGTGCCAGGGCCTCAGCACCCTCACAGGGAAGGATTTCTTCCCAACATCCAATCTGACCCCACATTCTGTCAGTGGGAAGCCATTCCCCCTTGTCCTGTCACTCCATGCCCTTGTCCAAAGTCCCTCTCCAACTCTCCTGGAGCCCCATCAGCTCCTGGATCATGAAGTGTTTGCCCTTGAAAGGATTGGGCTGGTGAGGGAATGTGAGATGCCATAGCTGGGGACACAAACACGGTGTCAGCAGGAAGAGAGGTGACAGTTCTGGTCCCAGGGCCAGCAGTTTCCAGGAGGAGCATCCCAGATCCCTGAGGCACATGTCAGCCTGGGTGGGAATCATCTCACCTCAGCTTTCTAGGAATTCCTTGGAATTCACTGTAGGCTTCTGTCAGACTCCCAATGGAGTGTAGAGGATGACTCAAAGGAAACCTGCAACTTTCTAAGGATTAAAGCCGAGAGGGCAGCATGGATTTGCCTCTTCTCAGAAGAGATGCCATTGCTGAAATCCCAAATCATTCCTCTGCTGTGTGCCAGTGCGCCAGCTTGCACACAGAATTTATGATTGCATGAGTCTTCTTGGAAATTGAATGGTGAAGGTCCGGTGCCACTTAAATTGTGGTATAGAAGTGGGGAAACCACATTTGAAACAGAAATAGAAGTTTAACAGCACATTTGTAGTGCAGGGTCATAAGGATCTGTGTCAGGGGATGACAGGGGACAAGTTCATGCAGTTCAAAAGACAAGATTTTGGGGTTGAGGTTGCTATAAAATAGAACAGAGGCTGAGATGGAGCCAAAGCGCTTTGGGCACAGGTGTGGTTGCTGGGGCTCTCTGCTGTTGCTCATTTCCCGGGCAGAGTGAAGAGCAGCTGAGGAGCAGAGGCCTGAGGCCGTGGCAGCTCTGAGGCAGCTGCCTGTGTGTGAGAGCCCTGGGGAACACGAGGCAGCACGGAGAGCAGGGGCTGTGGCAGGAGCTGGGACAGAGCCCGCGCCGGGCGCCGCTCGGGCTCACCCCGCGGGCCGCGCTCCCCTTTCCCAAGGGACCATTCCAGGGAAGCTCCTGCAGATCCCGGCCCAGGGACAGCAGCTGGAGGCTGGGAGCTGAGGGGAGTGCGCTGTGGGGAAGTTCTGCAGGCTGCCAGAGGAAACAAGGTCAGACTCTTCTCTTCCACCTTAATCAGGGCCCCCTCATTGGGTGGAACCTGGTTATTGATTTTGGGGGCAGAACTGAGGTCTGTAGGGAATTGAAAGCTATAAACAGTTTGGGAAAAGGGAGGGAATATTGAAACGAGTGTCCTGATAAAGGAATCCATCAGCTCAGTGACATCAACTGACACCTGAGAGTCCAGCTCAGATCCATCCCAAAGCCATTTGCTCTGTGACATCTCCATGGGCAATTCCTTCCTTCTCCACTTGTTTTCCTCCTCCAGCTGTGTCGTGTCCACAGCCAGGAAGGAGGTATCTGCCTGGCTTTTGTGCCAGGCATGCCAGACCAGGCTCCCACATCCTACTTGCCTTCTGTCCTGTCCCTCAGCCCTGCCTGTGCTGCTGCACATGGAAGCTGTGGCTGGGAAAAGATGGGAAAAGCCACGTTTGGGGGACAGCAGCGTTGCTCTGGTGTCTCTGTGTGTCACCCCTCCAGCTGTGTGAGGGCAGGAGAAGCAGCAGAGGTGTCACCATGAGCACTTTGTCCCCTGCCACGGAGGGAGCCAGCCCTGCCTGCTGGAGCCAGCCCGGTGGGAAGGCATCCAAGGGGAGCTGGAATGAGGAGAGCCACGGCAACTGGAGCCAGTGTGACCACAGGCAGTGGAGCAAAGTGCCTGTCCCACTGCTGCTGCTGCTGCTGCTGTGCCTGTGTGGAATGGTGGGAATGGGGCTGTGCTCTGGCTCCTCAGCTTCTGCATGCACAGGAACCCCATCACCCCTTATGTGCTCAGCCTGGCCATGGCTGGCTTCACCTTCCTGCTCTCCATCATCATCCCCCTGGGGCTATTTTCTGTCCCAGAGAGCTTCTGCCAGCAGCTGGGCTCGTGGGGTGTGACAGCTGGGCTGAAGGTGCCCATCCTCTTGGCTTTCACTGCCGCTGTCTCCTGTCTGACAGCCCTCAGTGCTGTGACAGCTCTGTTTGTCCTCGCGTGTCCTGCTGGCCCTGCCACTGCTCGCAGTGCTTCCCCATGCTCCTGTGTGCCCTGCTCTGGCTGCTCTCCTTCCTGCTCACTGCCCCCCTCCATTGCTGCTCTTTGGTGCCCATGGCCTTGGTCCTGAGCTGCCTCTTCTCAGTGCTCAGCCTGACCTGTTCTTCTCTGGCCCTGATGGCCAGGCTCCTGTGCTGCCCATGGAAACAGCTCCCAGGGAAGCTCTGTGCCCTGCTCCTGCTGCTCCTGTCATCTCCTTCCCCTTCTTCCCTGCTGATTTTGGGCACTGGCTGTTGCTGAGGGCGTTTGACTTCTCTGTCTTTGCCGCCAGCACCTCTCTCCTGCTCACCTGTGCCAAGAGCTCTGCCCTCCCTCTGATTCACTTCCTGGCTGGGAGCTGTGCAAAGGAATTCACCTCCTCTGGTAGTGTTGCCTTGCAGAGGGCTTTTGAGGCTTTTGTGCCAGAGCCAGGGCACAGGGACAACACAGTGGAGTCATCATCACGTGGAATCATCATGAAAGATCCTCAGCATAAAATAGAACCATAAAATATCCAGAGTTGGAAGGGACCTACAAGGTTGATGGAGTTGAGCTCGTGGCCCTGCACAGGACATCCCAAGAATCCCAGCCTGTGCCTGAGAGCATTGTCCAAATGCTCCTTGAGCTCTGCCAGGCTGGTGCTGTGTGCAGCAGGGGCACTCCTGCCTGGGGTGGTAGTGAGTGACACGAGGAATCCTCATGGAATGCTTTGGGTTGTGTCCTGCTTTAGGGAAAATTTGGGAGGAAGCCTCTGAATGGGCTTCCTCAAGTAAACAAATTCAAGCAGCCCCCTCCCCCCAACTTGTTTGGGAAAAGATTTCCTCAAAGAAAAGTGGAAAAAACCTGTTTATTTAACAAGCAAAGTATTCACAAGCATAAAAAAATGAAAACAATATTAGACAATAAAATCCCTTGGTGTTCTGCAGAGGTGGCAAATTCAGCAAGTCCTTGTTGTGGAGTGTAGTTTGGCTCACTCAGTCTCTTATCAGTCCCCCTTGTGCTGGAAAATGCCGCGTCCCAGGCCCCGGTGGGCCACAGGTGTGAGCTCCCAGTGCTCTTCTGGGTTTTCAGTCCAGAGCAGGTTTGAACAGTTCCAAGCAAAAGGAAAGCAACAGTCCAGGGATCTTCTCAGCCTCAGCTAGTTTAAAAAATACCAAAAGCAAAGGAGAGCTGTGTGTTGCATGTCTGTGCTGCAGACAGCATGGTCTGGGAGCAGGAATGGGGAGGAGTGAGCGCAGCTTCTGAAAACAAACTGCTGCATCTGCTCTCCCCCTCTTTGCTCAAGAACCAGTCTGAAATGGGCAAAACCTATTTCTGGGCTAAACAGATGAATGGGGACACAATTCAGCATCATAAAGTCACCCCAGGACAGGTTGGAAGGAACAGTAGAGATCATCTCATTCCATCTCTCCTTCTTCCATGGGCAGGGACAACCAGGAAAGCTTTTGCTTTGAAGTCTTGCTCTTTTGAAAGGAAGCTCAGATAGGGAGTGGCCTGGGTGACACTGGAGACAAGGAAGGTGCTGGGAAGCAGAAAAAGTACATGGAAGTAGAATGGTCCTTCTGCACTTGCCTTGGGAGAAACGCCCTGGCTGAGTTGTTCTTCCCTGGGCAAGAGATTCCACCATGGAAAGTCTTTGCAATGGACAGGAAATGGGAGTCAGGTAGAGAGAAAAACCCTCTTAGATATCAAAGTCTGTTCTGTTAATTATTAACAACTCTGTTAATAAATGCTCCTTAGCTGTTTAACCTCATGTGTGTCTCCAAAGCCTGACTCCACACATGGTTTTCGCTTTCGCTTCCCTTTCCAGAAGCAGTGGCACATTGGTTTCCCCTGGATTTAAGGCAGTGGGCAAAGGAGGGACAACTTCCCCCTGAGCAAGAGCTGTGGCTGCTGCCCAGGTCTCTCCCAGGAGGAATCAGGAGCTCTTGGCAGTGCCAACATCATCCCAGCCATTGCAGGCACGTGCCTTAGGAAGGGCTCTGGTATGAGACAGGTAGCTGCCCTGCTCCCAGAGCAGCCAGAGGCTTTGGAATGGGATCAAAGAAGGAAATGAGCCATTTTGGACACTGTTTAACAGCCACAGGCTCTGCAGGGAAGCCTGGTTGTTGTATATTCCACAAACTCTGTGTTGGATATTACCCCGATGGAGGCAAACAAAAACCACGAATCCAAATCTGATTGAGGGGTGGTTCCAGAATGACAAAGATCAGGACAGGCTGGACTGTGGCTGAAGCTGCTGTGCAGAGTGGCTGTGCAGCTCCTCCTGAGGGTGGCCAGGCTCAGGCTGGAGGTGCTCAAGGGCTTCCCTGGACACTGATGCTGGGGAACCAGAGGATGGATGGCCCCATTCTGCAGGAGAGCAGCATAACCCCCTAATTTCTGTGCAATTAAATGGCCCAAGCATCTGGTGATGGGAATTTCCATATTCCATGTACTTTCTGGATACAGGCACAGGAGTTCAGTGGAGTTCCCTATCGACCCTGCACTTTACTCAGAAGGATTCCATTCTGGAATTGAAGAATGTGACAAATTCCCAGGGAAAGGATAAGGGAATGTTGCTGTCCCTCCCCAGCTCTGCAGCCCTACCTGGTGTCCCTTCCCATCAGCTGGGAATGCAGGGCTGGCTCTGCTGGACAGAAGGGGAAGGATGCTCCCTGTGATCCCAACCCCTCTCCTGCCATCCAGAGGCACCAGCCCTGCAGGGATTTAGGAAATCACTGCTATCCTGTGCTGGGTGTGTCCCCAGGGATGAATGTGTCCCATTCTTTGCAGGCAAGAGCTCCCTGAAAACACCATGGAACTCATCTGCTTAGCCAAAGGAGAGGGAGTTCATTCCCTGGGGCCAAGGCCATGAGGGTGATTCCATGGGGAATAGAGCTGGGGAACAGCACTGAGCCCAGCTGCACTGCTTGGAGCCATGTGGATCCAGGAGGGAGGAGGAAAGCCATGCTGCAATGTGCTCCCTGCAGAGCATCCCACAAAAATCACCCAAGGCAAAGCCCGTGCTCCTTTGTCCTGCAGGAATACAGCACCATGGGGAGGGTGATACTCTGGATATTGATTAATCAAGAGGCTCAAGGCCGGCCCCTCAGCCACTTTCCTGGGATCCTTCAGCAGAGCAGTGGATGGGATCAGCCAGCCCAGACCCCCGTGTCCATGGCAGGATCATCGCTGTGGTCAGTGTTTTCTTTTGGCTCCTCAAACACCCTCTGGAGGGAGAGTCGGAGGGACCCCACAGAGCAGGGCCTCCTGCACCTGCCCACCAAGAAGTAGATGAAGGGTTTGATGCTGTGGATGCAAGCGAGCAGGAAAACAACCTGGGAGGGCACAACAATATAACCGAGCTGCTGCAGGAAATTCCATATGGCGACGAGGAAAATGAAGAGCACAATGATGAAGATAACGATGTCGCGCCCCTTGAGTTGCTGCTGCTGGGAGCCCCACTTGGCCTTAATGAAATCGACTGTGCTGGAAATGGCCACGGGTGCAGCCAAGAGAAGCAGGATGATGGTGTTCATGGAGATGAGAGCTGCCCTGCAGTGCTCCTGCTGGTGTGATGGGCACAGGAATGTCACTGTGGGTATGAGAGTGAAGAGAGCAAAGAAGGCCCAGTATTGGAGATTTCCCACCACCCACATCGGGCGCTTGGGAAGCTCCCAGCGGCAGCAGAGCTTGCAGAGCTTGTCCACATACAACACATTGCTGCTGGAAATCAGCTGGTACAGCCCCCAGTACAGGAACACCACTGAGAGCTGGAAGAGGAAACTCAGGTACAGCACGGGCAGCATAGGAGAACAGGACACGTCCTCCACCAGGAAGAGGAGGGCGGAGGTGACCGCAATGAGAAGGAAGAGGAAGTCAATGACAGCCAGGCGAAAGATGCGATAGTTACGGCTTTTCAGGCTGAGGAGGCCGATGACAGCCCCGTTCCCAGCCAGCCCACAGAGGCAGATGAGCAGGGTCACACTGTGTATGGCCACACTGGTGGCATCTGTCTCACAGAGATCATCTCCTTCAGGGGGTGAGGCAGGAGATGGGGACACGGTGGTCACCTCCATGGATGGACGCTGGGCAGGCAGTGGGATGTGGCCCCTGGCTGTGGTCAGAGTGGATGGGCAGTCAGTGCTTGGAGAATCCAGGGATGGACCATGCGGCTCCTCAGCAGCTGCCTGCAGTGGGAAGGATTCAGTGGGGAGGGGTGAGATGTGCAGGGGATGAAGGCAGTTGAAATGGTCGGGTGGGAGAGGGAGGTGGGAGGGTTGGGATGTTCCAGCACAGAGCAGAGGAGGGGGGAGCTGGGGAGGGCCCTGGGGTCAGCGGGGAGGGTGGCAGGAACAGAGCAGCTGCTGCAGGAGAGGAAGGTGGGGTAGGGAGGAAGGCCAACATTCCACTGACCTGTTCCCTGTGGGGCAGCAGCAGGCAAAGGGCTCTGTGCAGATCAGCGGCGCTTCCTGGCACCTCTTGCTCCTTTGGGATCCATGTCCTAAAGCGGCTCCTGGCAGGTCAGGGACATGAAGGAGAAAGTGCCCAGGTCACCAGGAGCTCCTCACTCCTGCCCCACTGGCTCCTCTCTGTGCCCTGCCCTCATGTTGCTCCCCAAGGCTCAGTGCAGTCACAGGGCAGTCACAAATTGCATCTTGGGCTACATCAGAATGTCGCTTCCTCCAAGACACTTATCTTGGGTTTTTTTGCAACAGAGAAAGTGTTTTTTGTCAAATGGTCCTTGAGGAAATATTCTGCAAATGGTTTATTTCTTCCTGATTAGGAATACTCCTTCTCTGCTAAATCTTCCATATTCTGACTGCCTTCCATCTCCTGACAGGCTTTTACCATTCCTCGTATCTCGTCCCTGAGCAGTCACAGCCATGATAAAATAGAATCATAAAATATCCAGAGTTGGAAGGCAGCCACAAGCACCATGCAATTGAGCTCCTGGCCCTGCACAGGACATCCCAACAATCCCAGCCTGTGCCTGAGACCGTTGTCCAAATGTTCCTTGAGCTCTGTCAGGCTGGTGCTGTGTGCAGCAGGGGAACTCCTGCCTGGGGTGGATGCTGGAAGATGTGAGGAATCCTTATGGAATTGCTTGGGTTGGAAGGAACCTTAGAGATCATCTCATTCCATCTCTCCTTCTGCCATGGGCAGGGACAACCAGGAAAACTTTTGGTTTGAAATCATTGCTCTTTTGAAGAGAAGCTCAGGTGGGGAGTGGCCTGGGTAACACTGGAGACAAGGAAGGTGCTGGGAAGTTGGAAAAGTACATTGAGGATCGTGATCTTGCTGCATTTGCTTTGGGAGAAACCCCTTGGCTGAAATGTCATTCCCTGGATAAGAGGTTGCACCATGGAAAGTTCCAACTCTCCATTGGGCAGGAAAACGGGAGACCGGGAGAGAAAAAACCTTTCAGATGTCAAAGTCTCTCTGTTCTCTTAATTATAAACAACTCCTTAGGAGTTAAAAATGCTTATGAGCATTATAAATGTTCCTAAGGTGTTTAACCTCACGTGTGTCTCAAAACCTGACTCACTTCCCATGGTTTTCACTTTCACTTCCCTTTCCAGAAGCAGTGGCACGTTGGTTTCCCCTGGATTTAGGGCAGTGGGAAAAGGAGGGACAACTTCCCCCTGAGCAAGAGCTGTGGCTGCTGCCCAGGTCTCTCCCAGGAGGAATCAGGAGCTCTTGGCAGTGCCAACATCATCCCAGCCATTGCAGGCACGTGCCTTAGGAAGGGCTCTGGTATGAGACAGGTGGCTGCCCTGCTCCCAGAGCAGCCAGAGGCTTTGGAATGGGATCAAAGAAGGAAATGAGCCATTTTGGACACTGTTTAACAGCCACAGGCTCTGCAGGGAAGCCTGGTTGTTGTATATTCCACAAACTCTGTGTTGGATATTACCCCGATGGAGGCAAACAAAAACCACGAATCCAAATCTGATTGAGGGGTGGTTCCAGAATGACAAAGATCAGGACAGGCTGGACTGTGGCTGAAGCTGCTGTGCAGAGTGGCTGTGCAGCTCCTGCTGAGGGTGGCCAGGCTCAGGCTGGAGGTGCTCAAGGGCTTCCCTGGACACTGATGCTGGGGAACCAGAGGATGGATGGCCCCATTCTGCAGAAGAGCAGCATAACCCCCTAATTTCTGTGCAATTAAATGGTCCAAGCATCTGGTGATCGTTATTTCCATATTCCATGTAATTTCTGGTACAGGCACAGGAATTCAGTGGAGTTCCCTATCGACCCTGCACTTTACTCAGAAGGATTCCATTCTGGAATTGAAGAATGTGACAAATTCCCAGGGAAAGGATAGGGGAATGTTGTTGTCCCTCCCCAGCTCTGCAGCCCTACCTGGTGTCCCTTCCCATCAGCTGGGAATGCAGGGTTGGCTGTGCTGGACAGAAGGGGAAGGATGCTCCCTGTGATCCCAACCCCTCTCCTGCCATCCAGAGGCACCAGCCCTGCAGGGATTTGGGAAATCACTGCCACCCTGTGCTGGGTGTGTCCCCAGGGATGAAGGTGTCCCATTCTTTGCAGGCAGGATCTCCCTGAAAACACCATGGAACTCATCTGCTGAGGCAAAGGAGAGGGAGTTCATTCCCTGGGGCCGAGGCCATGAGGGTGATTCCATGGGGAATAGAGCTGGGGAACAGCACTGAGCCCAGCTGCACTGCTTGGAGCCATGTGGATCCAGGATGGAGGAGGAAAGCCATGCTGCAATGTGCTCCCTGCAGAGCATCCCACAGAAATCACCCAAGGCAAAGCCTGTGCTCCCTTCTCCTGCAGGAATACAGCACCATGGGGAGGGTGATCCCTGGATATCGATTAATCAAGAGGCTCAAGAACTGCCCCTCAGCCACTTTCCTGGGATCCTTTATCAGAGCAGTGGAAGGGATCAGCAGGCTCAGACCACTGTGTACATGGCAGGATCATTTCTGTGGGCTATTTTTTCTTTTGGCTCCTCAAACACCCTCTGGAGGGAGAGTCGGAGGGACCCCACAGAGCAGGGCCTCCAGCACCACCCCACCAAGAAGTAGATGAAAGGTTTGATGCTGCTGTGGATGCAGGCGAGCAGGAAAACAACCTGGGAGTGCACAGCCATGTAACCGAGCTGCTGCAGGAAATACCAGATGGTGAAGAGGAACATGAAGAATAAAATGAGGAAGGTAACGATGTCGCGCCGCTTGGGCTGCTGCTCCTGGGAGCCCCACTTGGCCTTAATGAAATCGACTGTGCTGGAAATGAGCATGGGTGCAGCCAAGAGGAGCAGGATGATGGTGTTCATGGAGATGAGAGCTGCCCTGCAGTGCTCCTGCTGGTGTGATGGGCACAGGAATGTCACCGTGGGAATGACAGTGAAGAGAGCAAAGACTGTCCAGTATTGGACACTGATCACCACCCACACCAGGCGCTCAGGAAGCTCCCAGCAGCAGCAGAGCTTGCAGAACTTGTCCATGTACCACACATTGCTGCCGGCTATTAGCCAGAACAGCCCCCAGTACAGGGACACCACTGACAGCTGGAAGAGGAAACTCAGGTACAGCAGGGGCAGGATAGGAGAGCAGGACACTTCCTCCACCAGGATGAGGAGGGCGGAGGGGACCGCAAAGAGGAGGAAGAGGAAGTCAATGACAGCCAGCTTAAAGATGCGATAGTTACAGATTTTCAGGTTGAGGAGGCCGATGGCAGCCCCATTCCCAGCCAGCCCACAGAGGCAGATGAGCAGGGTCACACTGTGTATGGCCATGGTGGTGACTTCTGTCTCACAGAGATCATCTCCTTCAGTGGGTGAGGCAGGAGATGGGGACACAGTGGTCACCTCCATGGATGGACGCTGGGCAGGCAGTGGGATGTGGCCCCTGGCTGTGGTCAGAGTGGATGGGCAGTCAGTACTTGGAGAATCCAGGGATGGACCATGTGGCTCCTCAGCAGCTGCCTGCAGTGGGAAGGATTCAGTGGGGAGGAGTGAGATGTGCAGGGGAGGAGGGCAGTGGAAATGGTGGGGGGGGAGAGGGAGGTGGAAGGGTTTGGCTGTTCGGTAGGAGGCTGATAAATAACATAGAGAATAAACATTTTCAGTTCTTCTTCAGTTGTTCAAAAGTAAAGCGGCCAAAACTTAGAACGATGTGTTATAGATGGATAATGATATAATTGGCTCTCACAGTTAAGGGATCAATACCATGTGAATATTAAGAGAAGCTAGATTGATATATAATTACGTTATTGTAGTCTGTTGTTTAGATGTTTAGAACTATGTTCTCCCCATAGTCCCCTTCTCTCCCCTCTGTCCTGTTTCCATCAGAGAGCCTGAGTCATCTAGGACAGGTAGAAAGAAGGGGTGTACAAAAGCTTGTTGCTGGGGGGGGAAGAGGTGCAGCATGAGAACACCTGACCCTCGAGTCAAGTTGCAAGAGAGCAGGCTCCAGCAATAAACACAAAGAAGGGCTGAGTGACAGACTTTGGGAGGGGCCAGGTTTAGCTGATGCAACCCCCAGGGTATCAGAGGTGAAGCATCCATCTTGAAGATCAGCCAGACACGTGGTGGGCAGCCATGAGGAAGCTCTCAGGCCTGCTTCTCCTTATTCAGTCCTTTTGTTGCAGTTTTTGTTAAGGTTTAATGAGCGTTTAAAATCTTAAAAAGTGGGTGGTTGTTTCTCACAGGATGTAAGGGCCTGCACGCAGGATGACAAACGTGGCAGGAACCAGTGCAGAAACAGATAAGGAGGCCTGCAGTGGTTTTGGGGCAAATTCTGGAACAGGAAGCAACAGTGCATGGCCAGAGGAAAAGTTCAAGGCAAGAGCACCTTTAATATGGCAGCATTCATTGAATATGACCGCCAGAGTGACCCCTCTGAATAAACCTCCAGGATCATAAAGGGACTTCCAGGGGGAGGTGGATGCATGGAAATGAGTTCTAGGAAAATGGTGTTTGTGTATTAGAAAAGAAAAACTTTTTAATGCCTACATGTAGTTCTAATGGATTAATACCCTGTTGTAAAGTCTCACCATACACACAATTCAAGGAGAGATCCCTCTGTGTCCTGTGCAGGTCAAGAATTCCTGCTTCCTCATGCTCTGCATTGTGTTAGAAAGTTTGTTCTGGCCCATTTCAGTATTAGGACACAGACGGGATGCACAGGAGGAGAGAGAGGAGCTGGGGAGGGCCCTGGGGTCAGCGGGAGAGGGTGGCAGGAACAGAGCAGCTGCTGCAGGAGAGGAAGGTGGGCTAGGGAGGAAGGCAAACATTCCACTGACCTGTTCCCTGTGGGGCAGCAGCAGGCAAAGGGCTCTGTGCAGATCAGCGGCGCTTCCTGGTACCTCTTGCTCCTTTGGGATCCATGTGCTAAAGCGGCTCCTGGCAGGTCAGGGACATGAAGGAGAAAGTGCCCAGGTCACCAGGAGCTCCCCATTCCCGTCCTGCTGGCTCCTCTCCGTGCCCTGTCTTGGTGTTGTTTTGCAAGGCTTGGTGGGAGAGTCGGAAATTTAATCTTTGGCTACGTCAGAATTTCACTTCCTGTGAGTTTTTTGTCTTGACCTTTTTTTTCCTGCCATAGCGGAAGTAGCTCTACATGCAGATTTCTTTGAATGAAATTTCCTCCTGATTAGAAACTCTTTTCCAAATGGGACATTCTCCAAATGCTTCCCCTCTCTCAGCAGCTTTCTACCATTCCTCATTTATCTACCCTGAGGGGTCACTGTCCCTGCAGCAGCAGAGAGCTGCTGGTGGGGCTGGTGGTGCTGGAATGCTGCTGGCAGTGCTGGAAGTGCTCACAGCACTGTGCAAGCATCTGGCTGCTTCTCAGAAACACCTCCCATTCTGGGTTGATTTTCAGGATCATTGCCAAAACTTTCCCTGGCCCCAAGAAAGCAAACTGAGCTGAGAATTCCCATTCCTGTCATTGCAATGCAGGCTCACAGAGCCCAAAGGAAGGACAGCACTCAGTTGCTTGCAGCCAGGTCAGCAGCACTTAGAGCCCACCCTGATTACTGCCAATTGCCAGGTTTAGGGGTGTTGTGATCCCCTTTCCAGTTCATTGTTGGGGCTCATCCTCCTCCTCCTCCTCCATGGGAGCTCTTGCATTTGTTTTTGCCTGACCCCATCCCTCTGGGCAACTTTTGCCAGGACCTCACCACCCTCACAGGGAAGGATTTCTTCCCAACATCCAATCTGATCCCACCCTCTGTCAGTGGGAAGCCATTCCCCCTTGTCCTTTCACTCCATGCCCTTGTCCAAAGTCCCTCTCCAACTCTCCTGGAGCCCCATCAGCTCCTGGATGATGAAGTGTTTGCCCTTGAAAGGATTGGGCTGGTGAGGGAATGTGAGATGCCATAGCTGGGGACACAAACACGGTGTCAGCAGGGAAGAGAGGTGACAGTTCTGGTCCCAGGGCCAGCAGTTTCCAGCAGGAGCATCCCAGATCCCTGAGGCACATGTCAGCCTGGATGGGAATCATCTCACCTCAGCTTTCTAGGAATTCCTTGGAGTTCACTGTAGGCTGCTGTCAGACTGCCAGGGGAGTGTAGAGGATGACTCAGATGAAACTTGCAACTTTCTAAGGATTAAAGCCAAGAGAGCAGCATGGATTTGCCTCTTCTCAGAAGAAATGACATTGCTGAAATCCCAAATCATCCCTCTGCTGTGTGCCAGTGCTCCAGCTCACACACAGAATTTATTCTTGCATGAATCTTCTTGGAAATTGAATGGTGAAGGTCCGGTGCCACTTAAATTGTGGTATACAAGTGGGGAAACCACATTTGAAACAGAAATAGAAGTTTAACAGCACATTTGTAGTTCAGGGTCATAAGGATCCATGTCAGGGGATGACAGGGGGCAAGTTCAGGCAGTTCAAAAGACAAGATTTTGGGGTTGAGGTTGCTATAAAATAGAACAGAAGCTGAGATGGAGCCAAAGCGCTTTGGGCACAGGTGTGGTTGCTGGGGCTCTCTCCTGTTGCTCATTTCCCGGGCAGAGTGAAGAGCAGCTGAGGAGCAGAGGCCTGAGGCCGTGGCAGCTCTGAGGCAGCTGCCTGTGTGTGAGATCCCTGGGGAACACGAGGCAGCACGGAGAGCAGGGGCTGTGGCAGGAGCTGGGACAGAGCCCGCGCCGGGCGCCGCTCGGGCTCACCCCGCGGGCCGCGCTCCCCTTTCCCAAGGGACCATTCCAGGGAAGCTCCTGCAGATCCCGGCCCAGGGACAGCAGCTGGAGGCTGGGAGCTGAGGGGAGTGCGCTGTGGGGAAGTTCTGCAGGCTGCCAGAGGAAACAAGGTCAGACTCTTCTCTTCCACCTTAATCAGGGCCCCCTCATTGGGTGGAACCTGGTTATTGATTTTGGGGGCAGAACTGAGGTCTGTAGGGAAGTGAAAGCTATAAACAGTTTGGGAAAAGGGAGGGAATATTGAAACGAGTGTCCTGCTGAAGGAATCCATCAGCTCAGTGACATCAACTGACACCTGAGAGTCCAGCTCAGATCCATCCCAAAGCCATTTGCTCTCTGATATCTCCATGGGCAATTCCTTCCTTCTCCACTTGTTTTCCTCCTCCAGCTGTGTCGTGTCCACAGCCAGGAAGGAGGTATCTGCCTGGCTTTTGTGCCAGGCAGCCCAGACCAGGCTCCCACATCCTACTTGCCTTCTGTCCTGTCCCTCAGCCCTGCCTGTGCTGCTGCACATGGAAGCTGTGGCTGGGAAAAGATGGGAAAAGCCACGTTTGGGGGACAGCAGCGTTGCTCTGGTGTCTCTGTGTGTCACCCCTCCAGCTGTGTGAGGGCAGGAGAAGCAGCAGAGGTGTCACCATGAGCACTTTGTCCCCTGGCACGGAGGGAGCCAGCCCTGCCTGCTGGAGCCAGCCCGGTGGGAAGGCATCCAAGGGGAGCTGGAATGAGGAGAGCCACGGCAACTGGAGCCAGTGTGACCACAGGCAGTGGAGCAAAGTGCCTGTCCCGCTGCTGCTGCTGCTGCTGCTGTGCCTGTGTGGAATGGTGGGAATGGGGCTGTGCTCTGGCTCCTCAGCTTCTGCATGCACAGGAACCCCATCATCACCCCTTATGTGCTCAGCCTGGCCATGGCTGGCTTCACCTTCCTGCTCTCCATCATCATCCCCCTGGGGCTATTTTCTGTCCCAGAGAGCTTCTGCCAGCAGCTGGGCTCGTGGGGTGTGACAGCTGGGCTGAAGGTGCCCATCCTCTTGGCTTTCACTGCCGCTGTCTCCTGTCTGACAGCCCTCAGTGCTGTGACAGCTCTGTTTGTCCTCGCGTGTCCTGCTGGCCCTGCCACTGCTCGCAGTGCTTCCCCATGCTCCTGTGTGCCCTGCTCTGGCTGCTCTCCTTCCTGCTCACTGCCCCCCTCCATTGCTGCTCTTTGGTGCCCATGGCCTCGGTCCTGAGCTGCCTCTTCTCAGTGCTCAGCCTGACCTGTTCTGCTCTGGCCCTGATGGCCAGGCTCCTGTGCTGCCCATGGAAACAGCTCCCAGGGAAGCTCTGTGCCCTGCTCCTGCTGCTCCTGTCATGCCCTTCCCCTTCTTCACTGCTGATTTTGGGCTCTGGCTCTTGCTGAGGGCGTTTGACTTCTCTGTCTTTGCCGCCAGCACCTCTCTCCTGCTCACCTGTGCCAAGAGCTCTGCCCTCCCTCTGATTCACTTCCTGGCTGGGAGCTGTGCAAAGGAATTCACCTCCTCTGGTAGTGTTGCCTTGCAGAGGGCTTTTGAGGCTTTTGTGCCAGAGCCAGGGCACAGGGACAACACAGTGGAGTCATCATCAAGTGGAATCATCATGAAAGATCCTCAGCATAAAATAGAACCATAAAATATCCAGAGTTGGAAGGGACCTACAAGGTTGATGGAGTTGAGCTCGTGGCCCTGCACAGGACATCCCAAGAATCCCAGCCTGTGCCTGAGAGCATTGTCCAAAAGCTCCTTGAGCTCTGCCAGGCTGGTGCTGTGTGCAGCAGGGGCACTCCTGCCTGGGGTGGTAGTGAGTGACACGAGGAATCCTCATGGAATGCTTTGGGTTGTGTCCTGCTTTAGGGAAAATTTGGGAGGAAGCCTCTGAACAGGCTTCCTCAAGTAAACAAATTCAAGCAGCCCCCTCCCCCCAACTTGTTTGGGAAAAGATTTCCTCAAAGAAAAGTGGAAAAAACCTGTTTATTTAACAAGCAAAGTATTCACAAGCATAAAAAAATGAAAACAATATTAGACAATAAAATCCCTTGGTGTTCTGCAGAGGTGGCAAATTCAGCAAGTCCTTGTTGTGGAGTGTAGTTTGGCTCACTCAGTCTCTTATCAGTCCCCCTTGTGCTGGAAAATGCCACGTCCCAGGCCCCGGTGGGCCACAGGTGTGAGCTCCCCGTGCTCTTCTGGGTTTTCAGTCCTGGGCAGGTTTGAACAGTTCCAAGCAAAAGGAAAACCACAGTCCAGGGAACTTCTGAGCCTCAGCTAGTTCAAAAAATACCAAAAGCAAAGGAGAGCTGTGTGTTGCATGTCTGTGCTGCAGACAGCACGGTCTGGGAGCAGGAATGGGGAGGAGTGAGCGCAGCTTCTGAAAACAAACTGCTGCATCTGCTCTCCCCCTCTTTGCTCAAGAACCAGTCTGAAATGGGCAAAACCTATTTCTGGGCTAAACAGATGCATGGGGACACAATTCAGCATCATAAAGTCACCTCAGGACAGGTTGGAAGGAACGGTAGAGATCATCTCATTCCATCTCTCCTTCTTCCATGGGCAGGGACAACCAGGAAAGCTTTTGCTTTGAAGTCTTGCTCTTTTGAATGGAAGCTCAGGTAGGGAGTGGCCTGGGTGACACAGGAGACAAGGAAGGTGCTGGGAAGCAGAAAAAGTACATGGAAGGATCTTTGCAGGCAAGAGCTCCCTGAAAACACCATGGAACTCATCTGCTGAGGCAAAGGAGAGGGAGTTCATTCCCTGGGGCCGAGGCCATGAGGGTGATTCCATGGGGAATAGAGCTGGGGAACAGCACTGAGCCCAGCTGCACTGCTTGGAGCCATGTGGATCCAGGAGGGAGGAGGAAAGCCATGCTGCAATGTGCTCCCTGCAGAGCATCCCACAAAAATCACCCAAGGCAATGCTCCTGCTCCCTTCTCCTGCAGGAATACAGCACCACAGGGAGGGTGATCCCGTGGATATTGATTAATCAGGAGATTAAAGGAAACCTTCAGCCTCCTTGGGGTCTCCTGGGGTCCTTCCGCAGAGCAGTGGAAGGGATCAGCAGGCTCAGAGCACTGTGTCCATTGTAGGATCATCGCTGTGGGCAGTGTTTTCTTCTGCCTCCTCAAAGACCCTCTTGAGGGAGAGCTGGAGGGACTTTTTGGAGAAGGGCCTCCAGCCCCTCCCTGCCAAGAAGTAGATGAAGGGTTTGATGCTGCTGTGGATGCAGGTGAGCAGGAAGACAACCTGTGAGGACACAGCGATGTAACCGAGCTGCTGCAGGAAATTGCAGAGGCTGATGAGGAGAGTGAGGAGCACAGTGATGACAATAACGATGTCGCGCCTCTTGGGCTGCTGCTGCTGCTGGGAGCCCCGCTTGGAGTTAATGAAAATGATTGTGCCAGAAATTACCACGGGTGCAGCAAAGAGGAGCAGGATGATGGTGTACATGGAGATGAGAGCTGCCCGGCAGTGCTCCTGCTCTTGTGATGGGCAAAAGAATGTCACTGTGGGAATGACAGTGAAGAGAGCCAAGATGGCCCAGTATGGGATAGTGTCCACCACCCACATCAGGCGCAGAGGAAGGTCACAGTGGCAGCAGAGCTTGCAGAGGTTGTGCATATACCACACAGGGATGCTGCTCATCAGCCTGAACAGCACCCAGTAGTAGGAGACCAATGACAACTGAAAAACAAAATTCATGTACATCAAGGGCACGACAGGAGAGCAGGACACGTCCTCCATCAGGATGAGGAGGGCAGAGGGGATCGCAAAGAGGAGGAAGAGGAAGTCAATGACAGCCAGGTCAAAGAAGGCAGCGTTCCCTCTTTTCAGGTTGAGGAGGCCGATGACAGCCCCGTTCCCAGCCAGCCCACAGAGGCAGATGAGCAGGGTCACACTGTGTGTGGCCACGCTGGTGACATCTGTCTCACAGAGATGATCTCCTTCAGTGAGTGAGGCAGGAGATGGGGACACAGTGGTCACCTCCATGGATGGACACTGGGCAGGCAGTGGGATGTGGCCCCTGGCTGTGGTGAGAGTGGATGGGCAGTCAGTGCTTGGAGAATCCAGGGATGGACCATGTGGCTCCTCAGCAGCTGCCTGCAGTGGGAAGGATTCAGTGGGGAGGAGTGACACGTGAAGCTGAAGAGGCCAGTGGGAATGGTGGGATGGGAGAGGGAGGAGGGAGGGTGGGGTGGTGCTCAGGGGATTGATAAAGAAGAGAGAATAAACATTTTCAACTCTCCTGACGTTGCCTGAAGACTAACTGGGCAAATAGATAAAAATATGTGAAGGTGTGGACCCTGTTTGATAAAGGTGCCTGGAGCCAGAGCAGAAACAGATAAGGAGGTCGGCATTATTTCTGGGGCAAGTTCTGTAACAAGAAGCAAGAGCACATGGCCAAAGGAAAAGTTCAGGGCAGGGTCACCTTAGATATCACAGCACTCAGTGAATACAACCACCAGAAGCCCCTCTTAATCACCCTCCATGGCCATCAGAGGACTCGCAGTAGGAAGTGGATGAAGGGAAATTAGTTCTAGGAGAGTGGTATTTACCTTTATGTGTAAGGTGTTCTTTAGATAGAAAAACTTTTTGATTTCTATGTATGGTTGTAATGAATAAAAACACGGTTGTAAAATCTCACAACACTCACAGAAATAAGGAGAGCTCCTTCTGCATGTCCTGCTGCCTAATACTTCCCTTGGTAACAACATTAGGTGATGTTAGGATTTCTTCAAACAGAACTTTATTCTGTCTGCTTTTGGCATCACTCCACATCCCATCCCATGCCATCCCGATGGGTTCCCATCGCATGCCATGCCCTGCCATGCCATCCCAATGTGTTCCCAGTCCCTGGCCACTCCCTGGCTGCCGGTGTGGCCTGTTGGGCTCTGCTGCTGTCCAGTGGGAGATTTGGGATTGGTGGCACCCAGAGCCCTCCTGCCCCCTCCAGCCCCTGTGTGCCTGATGCCTTGGGCTGGCTCCCTAGAACAGAGGCCAGACCAGGTGAAGAGAATAAAAGGAAGCATTGATGAAAGGCCTTCAAAAGGTTCACCCTGGGCACTCCAAGCCATCCCTGTAGTGCCTCTTGTTTGTGTCCAAAGGAGGCTGGGGGCTGGACACCAGGGATGGAGCTGGGGAGGGGAATCTCCAAGAGAAACACGGCCCCAAAGGCTTCCAGGGCAGCCTGGGGTGAGCAGCCCGTGGGGAGGGACTGGAGCCTCAGGCACGGGGCTGGGAGGGATGGGAAGGATGGGAGGTGGGTGGGCTGCATGGGGAGTGGGATGGGAGGGTGGTGTGGGAGGGCTGGGACATGATGGAGCTGCTGGGAAGATGTGGTGGGAAGGTGTGGGGTGTGGTGGGGCTGGAGAGAAGGTGTGGGGTGTGGTGGGGCTGGAGAGAAGGTGTGGGGTGTGGTGGGGCTGGAGAGAAGGTGTGGGGTGTGGTGGGGCTGGTGACCTCAGGGAAGCCCCAGGGAGGGGGGTGATGCCCCGTGGAGCCCATGGTGACAAGCACAGGTGTCACCCTGCTCCTGGAAGGGGGTGGCTGTGCTGAGGAGCACGGCCTCCTCCTCTCCTTGCTGCTGCACCACCTGAGCCTGCTGAGGGAGCAGCTGCAGGCAGTGGAGAGGAAGAATTTCTGAAGGCAGAGACACCTTTGCTCCTGGCTGACAAAATTGAAAAGTAAAGATCTCTGGGGAGATCTCTGCTGTGACACTGACAGAGCACTCGGGGTGGGGAATGCTGAGCCCCTGGGCCATTGTGTCCATGCCAGCCCAGCTCTGGATCATGGTTGCTCCAGGCAGCACAAGCCATGGCTGTGTCCCTCTGACACCAAGACATTTTAAGTCTGACAGCAAAAGCGTGTTAGACTAGTAACAATTTTGAGTCAAAATAGTAAACATATTGGAAATATATTTGCCATAGACAGGTTCAAAGAAACAACACTTTTCAGGCATTTTTATGCATTATAATATCCAAGATGTTTTACAGATACTCCCAAATATGGTCCCAATATTTAAATCATAGTATAGTTTTTTTGTTTCTTTTATATACTACTAAAATATGCCATCAATCTTAGTTAAATGGATAACCTGGGGTTTTTTTCCAGTAAAAAATATTTTATTAAATTTGATGTACAAGCCTAGGAAATGGCTCTCTTATTGCCATTGCAATTTATGTCTTGCAATTTTTTAATTACATCTTTTGGTATGTATAGGCCTCTGAAATACTAAACCTCTCAAGATATCATTCTTATTCTATGACATCCAATTATTTCTAGTTATATGAGAACCATTAAAAGTACTTTATTGATTTTTGTTCTCCATCTGTTGACTAAGTTCTCTATGGGGTATGCGCTGATAAAGTTTTCTACTGACACTCAACCAACACAGATCTAAATCAAAACCAGCTAAAATCCACAGTCAAATATGCCTTGACTAATTAAATATCGTTCATTACAGAAATTTCTAAACAATCACAGAATTCCTGGCTAACTACGTCTATGTTCCCTCCCTCCAGCCACATTCCAGGCTGGCAGCAGCAGCCAGAGGAAGCCAGGAAGTGCTGGAAGAGGGGCCAAAGGCAGCTCAGGGTTCACGGTGCTGTTTATTGGTATCAGAGCTCAGTGGGATGCAGGAACCAGGTGCCAGGGGGAATTTTGGGGTCACAGCTGTGTTGGGAAGGATTCTTTTGGGGTAAAGTGCTCTAGGACCTGTGAGGGAGAAGGAAATCCATGCTCCAATGTGCTCTGTGCAGAGCGTGCCTCCCACATGGCCCCTGTCACTGCCTCTGCTCCCTTTCCCTGCAGGAATAAGGGTGGGAGGGTGATCCTAAGTCCCTGCCCCATGGTCCTGCATGGGGGCACTTGAAGGGTTCAAGAGGCTCAGGTCCCCGTGTCCCTGGTGGCATCATTACTGGGGACAGTGCTCCCTTCTGGCTCCTCAAAGACCCTCTGGAGGCACTCCCTGAGGGACCCCATGGAGCAGTTCCTCCAGCACTTTGTTACTGAGATGTAGATGAAGGGGTGGATGCTGCTGTGCATGCAGGCCAACAGGAGAACAAGCTGGGGGGACACAGTGGTGTAGCCGAGCTGCTGCAGGAAATTCCAGAGACTGAGGGGGAGAGTGAGGAGCACAGCGAGGAAGACAATGATGTCAAGCCTCTTGGATTGCTGCTGCTGGGAGCTAGCCTTGAAGTGAATGAAGAGGATTGTGCTGGAAATGACCATGGATGGAGCAAAGATGAGGAAGTTGAGGATGTACAGGGAGATGAGAGCCCCCTGGCAGAGCTTGTGTTCCTGTGACTGGCACAGGGAATTCACCGCAGAAATGGCAGCGATGACAGTGATGGAAAGGGCCCAGAGCACAGCACTGACCACCACCCATGAGAGGTCCTGGGGAAGGTGGCAGAAGAGCCCAGGTGGGAAGAGCATGGACCTGCCCCTCTCGGTGCTGATGGCCGTCAGCCGGTACAGCCCTACGCTGTGGAACATCCGGAAGAGGAGGAAAAGGAAGTTTATGGATGCTGGGGGCATGATGGAGGAGCAGGAGAAATCCTCCAGCAGGAAGAGCAGAGTGGAGGGGACCATGAAGATCAGGAAGATGAAGTTGATGATGGCCAGGTCAAGGATGTAGGCAGTGATGGGTTTCATGGTGTCCCTGTGGATGCGGAACCCGAGGACCCAGATGACAGCCCCGTTCCCAGCCAGCCCACAGAGGCAGATGAGCAGGGTCACACTGTGTATGGCCACGCTGGTGACATCTGTCTCACAGAGATGATCTCCTTCAGTGGGTGAGGCAGGAGATGGGGACACGGTGCTCACCTCCATGGATGGACGCTGGGCAGGCAGTGGGATGTGGCCCCTGGCTGTGGTCAGAGTGGATGGGCAGTCAGTGCTTGGAGAATCCAGGGATGGACCATGCAGCTCCTCAGCAGCTCCTGCAGTGGGAAGGATTCAGTTGGGAGGAGTGAGATGTGCAGGGGAGGAGGGTGGTAGAAATGGTGGGGTGGGAGAGGGAGGAGGGAGGGTTGGTCTGTTCGGTAGGAGGCTGATAAATAACAGAGAAAATAAACATTTTCAGTCCTTCTGAAGTTATTCAAAAGCAAAGTGGCCAAAATTTAGAACGATGTGTTATAGATGGATAATGAGATAATTGGCTCTCACATTTAAGGGATGAATGCTGTGTGAATATTTAGAGAAGCTTTATTGATATATAAGTATGTTATTGTATAAATGCTGTTTAGATGTCCCCTGTTCTCCCCATAGTCCCCTTCTCTCCCCTCTGTCCTGTTTCCATCAGAGAGCCTGAGTCATCTAGGACAGGTAGAAAGAAGGGGTGTACAGAAGCTTGTTGCTGGGGGGGGAAGAGGTGCAGCATGAGAACACCTGACCCTCCAGTCAAGTTGCAAGAAAGCAGGCTCCAGCAATAAACACAAAGAAGGGCTGAGTGACAGACTTTGGGAGGGGCCAGGTTTAGCTGATGCAACCCCCAGGGTATCAGAGGTGAAGCATCCATCTTGAAGATCAGCCAGACACGTGGTGGGCAGCCATGAGGAAGCTCCCAGGCCTGCTTCCCCTTATATATTCCTTTTGTTGCATTTTTTATTAAGGTTTATTAACCATTTAAAATTTTAAAAAGTGGATGGTTGTTTCTCAGAGGATGTAAAGACTGGCACACAGGATGACAAACATGGCAGGAACCAGTGCAGAAACAGATCAGGAGGCCTGCAGTGGTTTTGGGGTAAATTCTGGAACAGGAAGCAACAGTGCATGGCCAGAGGAAAAGTTCAAGGCAAGGGCACCTTTAATATGTCAGCATTCATTGAATATGACCACCAGAGAGACCCCTCTGAATAAACCTCCAGGATCATAAAAGGACTTGCAGGAGGAGGTGGATGCATGGAAATGAGTTCTAGGAAAATGGTGTTTGTGTATTAGAAAAGAAAAACTTTTCAAAGCCTACATGTGGTTCTAATGGATTAATACCCTGTTGTAAAGCCTCACCATACACACAATACAAGGAGAGATCCCTCTGTGTCCTGTGCAGGTCAAGAATTCCTGCTTCCTCATGCTCTGCACTGTGTTAGAATGTTTGTTCTGGCCCATTTCAGTGTTAGGACACAGACGGGATGCACAGGAGAAGAGAGAGGAGCTGGGGAGGGCCCTGGGGTCAGCGGGAGAGGGTGGCAGGAACAGAGCAGCTGCTGCAGGAGAGGAAGGTGGGGTAGGGAGGAAGGCCAACATTCCACTGACCTGTTCCCTGTGGGGCAGCAGCAGGCAAAGGGCTCTGTGCAGATCAGCGGCGCTTCCTGGTACCTCTTGCTCCTTTGGGATCCATGTCCTAAAGCGGCTCCTGGCAGGTCAGGGACATGAAGGAGAAAGTGCCCAGGTCACCAGGAGCTCCTCACTCCTGCCCCACTGGCTCCTCTCCATGCCCTGTCCTTGTGTTGCTCCTCCAGGCTCAGTGGGGTCATAGGGCAGGTGGAAGTTGTTTTACAGCTTTGGGTGTGTCAGAGCTCCACTCCCTCTCAGGTTTTTATCTTGAATATTTTTTTTCTTTGCCACAACGGAATTGGATTTGTCAAAAGTCCACATGAAGAGTTTTGCAAATGGCTCCTCATTTCCTTCTGATTAGAAACACTCCTTCCCTGCAGAATGTCCCATACTCCAACCTCCTTCTCTCTCTCTCTACCATTCCATGTTTCTCTTCCCTGAGGGGTCATTTTCTGTCCAGCAGCAGAGGGATGCTGGTGGTGCTGGTGCCACTGGAATGCTGCTGGCAGTGCTGGCAGTGCTGGTGAAGCATCTGGTTGCTTGTCAGAAACTGCTCCCATTCTGGGAAGAGCTCCAGAACCACTGCCAAAACCTCCCCTGTTCCCAAGGAAGCACAAATGAGGGAAGAATTCCCATTTTTGCATTCTCCCCCAGGCTCACAGAGCCCAAGGGAAGGACAGCACTCAGTTGCTTGCAGCCAGGCTATCAGCACTTGGAGCCCACCCTGATTACTGCCAACGCCCTTGATGATGCAATGAAAGCTATCAGGGACCAGGGTGCTGTGAACCCCCTGCCAGCCCTTCACCAGAGCTGCTCCTGCTCCTCCTCAGTCCTGGGAACACTTGGGCTTGTTTTTGTGCTTGTCTGATGCCTGACTGTCCCTTTGCCAGCAGGGACACTTTCCACTATCCCACGTTGCTCCAAACCCCATCCAACCTGGCCTTGGACACTTCCAGGGATCCAGGGACAGCCACAGCCTCTCTGGGCAATGTATGCCAGGGCCTCATCACCCTCACAGGGAAGGATTTCTTCCCAATATCCAATCTGACCCCACCTTGTGTCAGTGGGAAGCCATTCCCCCTTGTCCTGTCACTCCATGCCCTTTTCCAAAGTCCCTCTCCAACTCTCCTGGAGCCCCATCAGCTCCTGGATGATGAACTGTTTGCCCTTGAAAGGATTGGGCTGGTGAGGGGATGTGAGATTGCATAGCTGGGGACACAAACACGGTGTCAGCAGGAAGAGAGGTGACAGTTCTGGTCCCAGGGCCAGCAGTTTCCAGCAGGAACATCCCAGATCCCTGAGGCACATGTCAGCCTGGGTGGGAATCATCTTGGAATTCACTGTAGGCTGCTGACACCAGGAAAGCTCTTGCATTGAAATCTTTGCTCTTTTGAAAGGAAGCTCAGGTAGGGAGTGGCCTGGGTGACACTGGAGACAAGCAAGGTGCTGGGAAGGAGAAAAAGTACATGGAAGGATCATGATCCTCCTGCACTTGCCCCTGGCTGAGTTGTTCTTCCCTGGACAAGAGGTCCCACCAACGAAAGTTTTGGGTTTCCAATGGACAGGATACCAGGAGTCAGGGAGGGAAAAACCCTCTTAGATATCAAAGTCTCTTCTGTTAATTTTTAACAACTCTGTTAATAAATGCTCCTTAGCTGTTTAACCTCATGTGTGTCTCCAAAGCTTGACTCCACACATGGTTTTCACTTTCGTTTCCCTTTCCAGAAGCAGTGGCACGTTGGTTTCCCCTGGATTTAAGGCAGTGGGCAAAGGAGGGACAACTTCCCCCTGAGCAAGAGCTGTGGCTGCTGCCCAGGTCTCTCCCAGGAGGAATCAGGAGCTCTTGGCAGTGCCAACATCATCCCAGCCATTGCAGGCACGTGCCTTAGGAAGGGCTCTGGTATGAGACAGGTAGCTGCCCTGCTCCCAGAGCAGCCAGAGGCTTTGGAATGGGATCAAAGAAGGAAATGAGCCATTTTGGACACTGTTTAACAGGGTCAGATGCTGCAATGAAGCCTGGTTGTTGAGTATTCAATAAATTCGGAGGGAACTACGACAGTGGCAAGAAACAAAAAACGTGAATCCAAATCTGATTGAGGGGTGATTACAAAATGACAAAGATCAGGACAGGCTGGACTGTGGCTGAAGCTGCTGTGCAGAGTGGCTGTGCAGCTCCTCCTGAGGGTGGCCAGGCTCAGGCTGGAGGTGCTCAAGGGCTTCCCTGGACACTGATGCTGGGGAACCAGAGGATGGATGGCCCCATTCTGCAGAAGAGCAGCACAACCCCCTAATTTCTGTGCAATTAAATGGTCCAAGCATCTGGTGAGGGGAATTTCCATATTCCATGTACTTTCTGGTACAGGCACAAAGGATCAGTGGAGCTCCCTATCGACCCTGCACTTTACTCAGAAGGATTTAGTTCTGGAATTCAAGAATGTGAGAAATTCCCACGGAAAGGATAGGGGAATGTTGCTGTCCCTCCCCAGCTCTGCAGCCCTTCCTGGTGTCCCTTCCCATCAGCTGGGAATGCAGGGCTGGCTGTGCTGGACAGAAGGGGAAGGATGCTCCCTGTGATCCCAACCCCTCTCCTGCCATCCAGGGGCACCAGCCCTGCAGGGATTTGGGAAATCACTGCCACCCTGTGCTGGGTGTGTCCCCAGGGATGAAGGTGTCCCATTCTTTGCAGGTAAGAGCTCCCTGAGAACACCATGGAACTCATCTGCTGAGGCAAAGGAGAGGGAGTTCATTCCCTGGGGCCGAGGCCATGAGGGTGATTCCATGGGGAATGGAGCTGGGGAACAGCACTGAGCCCAGCTGCACTGCTTGGAGCCATGTGGATCCAGGAGGGAGGAGGAAAGCCATGCTGCAATGTGCTCCCTGCAGAGCATCCCACAAAATCACCCAAGGCAATGCCACTGCTCCCTTGTTCTGCAGGAATACAGCACCATGGGGAGGGTGATCCTGTGGATATTGATTAATCAGGAGATTAAAGGAAACCTTCAGCCTCCTTGGGGTCTCCTGGGGTCCTTCCGCAGAGCAGTGGAAGGGATCAGCAGGCTCAGAGCACTGTGTCCATGGCAGGATCATCGCTGTGGGCAGTGTTTTCTTCTGTCTCCTCAAAGACCCTCTTGAGGGAGAGCTGGAGGGACTTTTTGGAGAAGGGCCTCCAGCCCCTCCCTGCCAAGAAGTAGATGAAGGGTTTGATGCTGCTGTGGATGCAGGTGAGCAGGAAGACAACCTGTGAGGACACAGCGATGTAACCGAGCTGCTGCAGGAAATTGCAGAGGCTGATGAGGAGAGTGAGGAGCACAGTGATGACAATAACGATGTCGCGCCGCTTGGGCTGCTGCTGCTGGGAGCCCCGCTTGGAATGAATGAAATTGATTGTGCCAGAAATTACCACGGGTGCAGCAAAGAGGAGCAGGATGATGGTGTACATGGAGATGAGAGCTGCCCGGCAGTGCTCCTGCTCTTGTGATGGGCAAAAGAATGTCACTGTGGGAATGACAGTGAAGAGAGCCAAGATGGCCCAGTATGGGATAGTGTCCACCACCCACATCAGGCGCAGAGGAAGGTCACAGTGGCAGCAGAGCTTGCAGAGGTTGTGCATATACCACACAGGGATGCTGCTCATCAGCCTGAACAGCACCCAGTAGTAGGAGACCAATGACAACTGAAAAACAAAATTCATGTACATCAAGGGCACGACAGGAGAGCAGGACACGTCCTCCACCAGGATGAGGAGGGCAGAGGGGATCACAAAGAGGAGGAAGAGCAAGTCCATGACAGCCAGGTCAAAGAAGGCAGCGTTCCCTCTTTTCAGGTTGAGGAGGCCGATGACAGCCCCGTTCCCAGCCAGCCCACAGAGGCAGATGAGCAGAGTCACACTGTGTGTGGCCATGGTGGTGACATCTGTCTCACAGAGATGATCTCCTTCAGTGGGTGAGGCAGGAGATGGGGACATGGTGGTCACCTCCATGGATGGACACTGGGCAGGCAGTGGGATGTGGCCCCTGGCTGTGGTCAGAGTGGATGGGCAGTCAGTGCTTGGAGAATCCAGGGATGGACCATGTGGCTCCTCAGCAGCTGCCTGCAGTGGGAAGGATTCAGTGGGGAGGAGTGACACGTGAAGCTGAAGAGGCCAGTGGGAATGGTGGGATGGGAGAGGGAGGAGGGAGGATGTGCTGGTGTGCAGGGGATTGATAAATTAGAGAGAATAAACATTTTCAACTCTCCTAAGGTTGCCTGAAGACTAACTGGGCAAATAGATAAAAATATGTGAAGGCGTGGACCCTGTGTGATAGACGTGCCTGGAGCCAGAGCTGAAACAGATAAGGAGGTCGGCATTATTTCTGAGGCAAGTTCTGTAACAAGAAGCAAGAGCACATGGCCAAAGGAAAAGTTCAGGGCAGGGTCACCTTAGATATCACAGCACTCAGTGAATACAACCACCAGAAGCCCCTCTTAATGACCCTTCAGGGCCATCAGAGGACTCGCAGTAGGAAGTGGATGAAGGGAAATTAGTTCTAGGAGAGTGGTATTTACCTTTATGTTTAAGGTGTTCTCTAGAAAAGAAAAACTTTTTAATGTCTATGTATGGTTATAATGAATAAAAACACGGTTGTAAAATCTCACAACACTCACAGAAATAATGAGTGCTCCTTCTGCATGTCCTGCTGCCTAATACTTCCCTTGGTAACAACATAAGGTGGGGTTAGGACTTCTTCAGACAGAACTTCATTCCATCTGATTTTGGCATCACTCCCCAGGCCATGCCATGCCATGCCATGCCATGCCATGCCATGCCATGCCATGCCATGCCATGCCATGCCATGCCATGCCATGCCATGCCATGCCATGCCATGCCATGCCATGCCTTGCCATCCCAATGGGTTCCCAGTCCCTGGCCACTCCCTGGCTGCCGGTGTGGCCTGTTGGGCTCTGCTGCTGTCCAGTGGGAGATTTGGGATTGGTGGCACCCAGAGCCCTCCTGGCCCCTCTCAAGCCCCTGTGTGCCTGATGCCTTGGGCTGGCTCCCTGGAACAGAGGCCAGACCAGGTGAAGAGAATAAAAGGAGGCATTGATGAAAGGCCTTCAAAAGGTTCACCCTGGGCACTCCAAGCCATCCCTGTAGTGCCTGTTGTTTGTGTCCAAAGGAGGCTGGGGGGCTGGACACCAGGGATGGAGCTGGGGAGGGGAATCTCCAAGAGAAACACGGCCCCAAAGGCTTCCAGGGCAGCTTGGGGTGAGCAGCCCGTGGGGAGGGACTGGAGCCTCAGGCACGGGGCTGGGAGGGATGGGAAGGATGGGAGGGGGGTGGGCTGCATGGGGAGTGGGATGGGAGGGTGGTGTGGGAGGGCTGGGACATGATGGAGCTGCTGGGAAGATGTGGTGGGAAGGTGTGGGGTGTGGTGGGGCTGGAGAGAAGGTGTGGGGTGTGGTGGGGCTGGTGACCTCAGGGAAGCCCCAGGGAGGGGGGTGATGCCCCGTGGAGCCCATGGTGACAAGCACAGGTGTCACCCTGCTCCTGGAAGGGGGTGGCTGTGCTGAGGAGCACGGCCTCCTCCTCTCCTTGCTGCTGCACCACCTGAGCCTGCTGAGGGAGCAGCTGCAGGCAGTGGAGAGGAAGAATTTCTGAAGGCAGAGACACCTTTTCTCCTGGCTGACAAAATTGAAAAGTAAAGATCTCTGGGGAGATCTCTGCTGTGACACTGACAGAGCACTCGGGGTGGGGAATGCTGAGCCCCTGGGCCATCGTGTCCGTGCCAGCCCAGCTCTGGATCATGGTTGCTGCAGGGAGCACAAGCCATGGCTGTGTCCCCTCTGAAACCAAGACATTTTAAGTCTGACAGCAAAAGCGTGTTAGACTAGTAACAATTTTGAGTCAAAATTGTGAACATATTGGAAATTTATTTGCCATAGATATGTCCAAAGAAACAACACTTTTCAGGCATTTTTATGCATTATAATATCCCAGAGTTTTTACAGATACTCCCAAATATGGTCCCAATATTTACATCATAGTATAGGTGTTTTGTTTCTTTTATATACTACCAAAATATGCCATCAATCTTAGTTAAATGGATAACGTGGGGTTTTTTCCAGTAAACAATGTTTTATTAAATTTGATGTACAAGCCTAGGAAATGGCTCTCTTATTGCCATTGCAATTTATGTCTTGCAATTTTTTAATTACATCTTTTGGTATGTATAGGCCTCTGAAATACTAAACCTCTCAAGATACCATTCTTATTCTATGACATCCAATTAGTTCTAGTTGTATGATAACCATTAAAAGTACTTTATTGATTTTTGTTCTCCATCTATTGAGTAAGTTCTCTATGGGGTATGCGCTGATAAAGTTTTCTACTGACACTCAACCAACACAGATCTAAATCAAAACCAGCTAAAATGCACAGTCAAATATGCCTTGACTCATTAAACATAGTTCATTACAGAAATTTCTAAACAATCACAGAATTCCTGGCTAACTACCTCTCTGTTCCCTCCCTCCAGCCACATTCCTGCCTGGCAGCAGCAGCCAGAGGAAGCCAGGAAGCGCTGGCAGAGGAGGCAAAGGCAGCTCAGGGTTCATGGTGCTGTTTATTGGTATCAGAGCTCAGTGGGATGCAGGAAGCAGATGCCAGGGGGAATTTTGGGGTCACAGCTGTGTTGGGAAGGATTCTTTTGGGGGTAAAGTGCTCTAGGACCTGTGAGGGAGAAGCAAATCCATGCTCCAATGTGCTCTGTGCAGAGCATGCCTCCCACATGGCCCCTGCCACTGCCTCTGCTCCCTTTCCCTGCAGGAATAAGGGTGGGAGGGTGATCCTAAGTCCCTGCCCCATGGTCCTGCATGGGGGCACTTGAAGGGTTCAAGAGGCTCAGGTCCCCGTGTCCCTGGTGGCATCATTACTGGGGACAGTGCTCCCTTCTGGCTCCTCAAAGACCCTCTGGAGGCACTCCCTGAGGGACCCCATGGAGCAGTTCCTCCAGCACTTTGTTACTGAGATGTAGATGAAGGGGTGGATGCTGCTGTGCATGCAGGCCAACAGGAGAACCACCCGGGGGGACACAGTGGTGTAGCCGAGCTGCTGCAGGAAATTCCAGAGACTGAGGGGGAGAGTGAGGAGCACAGCGAGGAAGACAATGATGTCAAGCCTCTTGGATTGCTGCTGCTGGGAGCTAGCCTTGAAGTGAATGAAGAGGATTGTGCTGGAAATGACCATGGATGGAGCAAAGATGAGGAAGTTGAGGATGTACAGGGAGATGAGAGCCCCCTGGCAGAGCTTGTGTTCCTGTGACTGGCACAGGGAATTCACCGCAGAAATGGCAGCGATGACAGTGATGGAAAGGGCCCAGAGCACAGCACTGACCACCACCCATGAGAGGTCCTGGGGAAGGTGGCAGAAGAGCCCAGGTGGGAAGAGCATGGACCTGCCCCTCTCGATGCTGATGGAAATCAGCCGGTACAGCCCTACGCTGTGGAACATCCGGAAGAGGAGGAAAAGGAAGTTTATGGATGCTGGGGGCATGATGGAGGAGCAGGAGAAATCCTCCAGCAGGAAGAGCAGAGTGGAGGGGACCATGAAGATCAGGAAGATGAAGTTGATGATGGCCAGGTCAAGGATGTAGGCAGTGATGGGTTTCATGGTGTCCCTGTGGATGCGGAACCCGAGGACCCAGATGACAGCCCCATTCCCAGCCAGCCCACAGAGGCAGGTGAGCAGGGTCACACTGTGTATGGCCACGCTGGTGACATCTGTCTCACAGAGATGATCTCCTTCAGTGGGTGAGGCAGGAGATGGGGACACGGTGCTCACCTCCATGGATGGACGCTGGGCAGGCAGTGGGATGTGGCCCCTGGCTGTGGTCAGAGTGGATGGGCAGTCAGTGCTTGGAGAATCCAGGGATGGACCATGCGGCTCCTCAGCAGCTCCTGCAGTGGGAAGGATTCAGTGGGGAGGGGTGAGATGTGCAGGGGAGGAGGGAAGTGGAAATGGTGGGGGGGGAGAGGGAGGTGGGAGGGTTGGGCTGGTTAGAAAGAGGCTGATAAATAACATAGAGAATAAACATTTTCAGCTCTTCTGAAGTTGTTCCAAAGCAATGTGGCCAAAATTTTAAAGGATGTGTTACAGATGGATAATGAGATGACTGGATCTAACAGTTAAGGGATGAATACTGTGTGAATATTAAGAGAAACTTCATTGATATATAATTATGTTATTGTAGTCTGTTGTTTAGATGTCCCCTGTTCTCCCCATAGTCCCCTTCTCTCCCCTCTGTCCTCTTTCCATTAGAGAGCCTGAGTCATCTAGGACAGGTAGAAAGAAGGGGTGTACAAAAGCTTGTTGCTGGGGGGGGGAAGAGGTGCAGCATGAGAACACCTGACCCTCGAGTCAAGTTGCAAGAGAGCAGGCTCCAGCAATAAACACAAAGAAGGGCTGAGTGACAGACTTTGGGAGGGGCCAGGTTTAGCTGATGCAACCCCCAGGGTATCAGAGGTGAAGCATCCATCTTGAAGATCAGCCAGCCATGTGGTGGGCAGCCGTGAGGGAAGCTCCCAGGCCTGCTTCTGATTATTCAGTCCTTTTGTTGCATTTTTTGTTAAGGTTTAATGAAACTTTCAAAATTTAAAAAAGTGGATGGTTGTTTCTCACAGGATGTGAAGGCTGGCACACAGGATGGCAAACATGGCAGGAACCAGTGCAGAAACAGATAAGGAGGCCTGCAGTGGTTTTGGGGTAAATTCTGGAACAGGAAGCAACAGTGCATGGCCAGAGGAAAAGTTCAAGGCAAGGGCACCTTTAATATGGCAGCATTCATTGAATATGACCACCAGAGAGACCGTGCTTAATAAACCTCCAGGATCATGAAAGGACTTGCAGGAGGAGATGGATGCATGGAAATGAGTTATAGGAAAATGGTGCTTATTTATTAGAAAAGAAAAACTTTTCAAAGCCTACATGTGCTTCTAATGGATTAATACCCTGTTGTACAGTCTCACCATACACACAATACAAGGAGAGATCCCTCTGTGTCCTGTGCAGGTCAAGAATTCCTGCTTCCTCATGCTCTGCATTGTGTTAGAAAGTTTGTTCTGGCCCATTTCAGTATTAGGACACAGACGGGATGCACAGGAGGAGAGAGAGGAGCTGGGGAGGGCCCTGGGGTCAGCGGGAGAGGGTGGCAGGAACAGAGCAGCTGCTGCAGGAGAGGAAGGTGGGGTAGGGAGGAAGGCCAACATTCCACTGACCTGTTCCCTGTGGGGCAGCAGCAGGCAAAGGGCTCTGTGCAGATCAGCGGCGCTTCCTGGTGCCTCTTGCTCCTTTGGGATCCATGTCCTAAGGCGGCTCCTGGCAGGTCAGGGACATGAAGGAGAAAGTGCCCAGGTCACCAGGAGCTCCCCATTCCTGTCCTGCTGGCTCCTCTCTGTGCCCTGCCGTCGTGTTGTTTCCCAAGGCGTGGCAGGAGAGTCGGAAGTTTAATCTTTGGCTACATCAGAATTTCCCTTCCTGTGAGTTTTTTGTCTTGACCATATTCCTACCATAGCGGAAGTAGCTCTACATGCAGATTTCTTTAAAAGCCACTTTCCTGGGATCCTTCAGCAGAGCAGTGGGAGGGATCATCAGGCTCAGACCCCGTGTCCATGGCAGGATCATCGCTGTGGGCAGTGTTTTCTTCTGGCTCTTCAAAGACCCGGTGGAGGGAGAGCTGGAGGGACTTTATGGAGCAGAGCCTCCAGCTCCTCCCCACCAAGAAGTAGATGAAGGGTTTGATGCTGCTGTGGATGCAGACGAGCAGGAAAACAACCTGGGAGGGCACAACAATATAATCGAGCTGCTGCAGGAAGTTCCAGAGGCTGAGGAGGAGAGTGAAGAGCACAATGAGGAAGGTAACGATGTCGCGCCTCTGGAGTTGCTGCTGCTGGGAGCCCCACTTGGCCTTAATGAAATCGACTGTGCTGGAAATGAGCATGGGTGCAGCCAAGAGGAGCAGGATGATGGTGTTCATGGAGATGAGAGCTGCCCGGCAGTGCTCCTGCTGGTGTGATGGGCACAGGAATGTCACCGTGGGCATGACAGTGAAGAGAGCAAAGAAGGCCCATAATTGGACACTGATCACCACCCACACCAGGCGCTCGGGAAGCTCACAGCGGAAGCAGAGCCTGATGAGCTTGCGCATATACCACTCATCACTGATGCGCATCAGCCAGAACAGCCCCCAGTACAGGGACACCACTGAAAACTGGAAGAGGAAACTCAGGTAGAGCACGGGCAGGATAGGAGAGCAGGACACGTCCTCCACCAGGAAGAGGAGGGCAGAGGGGACCGCAAAGAGGAGGAAGAGGAAGTCCATGACAGCCAGGTCAAAGAAGTCAGCGTTACGGCTTTTCAGGCTGAGGAGGCCGATGACAGCCCCGTTCCCAGCCAGCCCACAGAGGCAGATGAGCAGGGTCACACTGTGTATGGCCACACTGGTGACATCTCTCTCACACAGATGATCTCCTTCAGTGGGTGAGGCAGGAGATGGGGACATGGTGCTCACCTCCATGGATGGACGCTGGGCAGGCAGTGGGATGTGGCCCCTGGCTGTGGTCAGAGTGGATGGGCAGTCAGTGCTTGGAGAATCCAGGGATGGACCATGCAGCTCCTCAGCAGCTCCTGCAGTGGGAAGGATTCAGTTGGGAGGAGTGAGATGTGCAGGGGAGGAGGGTGGTAGAAATGGTGGGGTGGGAGAGGGAGGAGGGAGGGTTGGTCTGTTCGGTAGGAGGCTGATAAATAACAGAGAAAATAAACATTTTCAGTCCTTCTGAAGTTATTCAAAAGCAAAGTGGCCAAAATTTAGAACGATGTGTTATAGATGGATAATGAGATAATTGGCTCTCACATTTAAGGGATGAATGCTGTGTGAATATTTAGAGAAGCTTTATTGATATATAAGTATGTTATTGTATAAATGCTGTTTAGATGTCCCCTGTTCTCCCCATAGTCCCCTTCTCTCCCCTCTGTCCTGTTTCCATCAGAGAGCCTGAGTCATCTAGGACAGGTAGAAAGAAGGGGTGTACAGAAGCTTGTTGCTGGGGGGGGAAGAGGTGCAGCATGAGAACACCTGACCCTCCAGTCAAGTTGCAAGAGAGCAGGCTCCAGCAATAAACACAAAGAAGGGCTGAGTGACAGACTTTGGGAGGGGCCAGGTTTAGCTGATGCAACCCCCAGGGTATCAGAGGTGAAGCATCCATCTTGAAGATCAGCCAGACACGTGGTGGGCAGCCATGAGGAAGCTCCCAGGCCTGCTTCCCCTTATATATTCCTTTTGTTGCATTTTTTATTAAGGTTTATTAACCATTTAAAATTTTAAAAAGTGGATGGTTGTTTCTCAGAGGATGTAAAGACTGGCACACAGGATGACAAACATGGCAGGAACCAGTGCAGAAACAGATCAGGAGGCCTGCAGTGGTTTTGGGGTAAATTCTGGAACAGGAAGCAACAGTGCATGGCCAGAGGAAAAGTTCAAGGCAAGGGCACCTTTAATATGTCAGCATTCATTGAATATGACCACCAGAGAGACCCCTCTGAATAAACCTCCAGGATCATAAAAGGACTTGCAGGAGGAGGTGGATGCATGGAAATGAGTTCTAGGAAAATGGTGTTTGTGTATTAGAAAAGAAAAACTTTTCAAAGCCTACATGTGGTTCTAATGGATTAATACCCTGTTGTAAAGCCTCACCATACACACAATACAAGGAGAGATCCCTCTGTGTCCTGTGCAGGTCAAGAATTCCTGCTTCCTCATGCTCTGCACTGTGTTAGAATGTTTGTTCTGGCCCATTTCAGTGTTAGGACACAGACGGGATGCACAGGAGAAGAGAGAGGAGCTGGGGAGGGCCCTGGGGTCAGCGGGAGAGGGTGGCAGGAACAGAGCAGCTGCTGCAGGAGAGGAAGGTGGGGTAGGGAGGAAGGCCAACATTCCACTGACCTGTTCCCTGTGGGGCAGCAGCAGGCAAAGGGCTCTGTGCAGATCAGCGGCGCTTCCTGGTACCTCTTGCTCCTTTGGGATCCATGTCCTAAAGCGGCTCCTGGCAGGTCAGGGACATGAAGGAGAAAGTGCCCAGGTCACCAGGAGCTCCTCACTCCTGCCCCACTGGCTCCTCTCCATGCCCTGTCCTTGTGTTGCTCCTCCAGGCTCAGTGGGGTGACAGGGCAGTCGGAAGTTGTTTTACAGCTTTGGGTGTGTCAGAGCTCCACTCCCTCTCAGGTTTTTATCTTGAATATTTTTTTTCTTTGCCACAACGGAATTGGATTTGTCAAAAGTCCACATGAAGAGTTTTGCAAATGGCTCCTCATTTCCTTCTGATTAGAAACACTCCTTCCCTGCAGAATGTCCCATACTCCAACCTCCTTCTCTCTCTCTCTACCATTCCATGTTTCTCTTCCCTGAGGGGTCATTTTCTGTCCAGCAGCAGAGGGATGCTGGTGGTGCTGGTGCCACTGGAATGCTGCTGGCAGTGCTGGCAGTGCTGGTGAAGCATCTGGTTGCTTGTCAGAAACTGCTCCCATTCTGGGAAGAGCTCCAGAACCACTGCCAAAACCTCCCCTGTTCCCAAGGAAGCACAAATGAGGGAAGAATTCCCATTTTTGCATTCTCCCCCAGGCTCACAGAGCCCAAGGGAAGGACAGCACTCAGTTGCTTGCAGCCAGGCTATCAGCACTTGGAGCCCACCCTGATTACTGCCAACGCCCTTGATGATGCAATGAAAGCTATCAGGGACCAGGGTGCTGTGAACCCCCTGCCAGCCCTTCACCAGAGCTGCTCCTGCTCCTCCTCAGTCCTGGGAACACTTGGGCTTGTTTTTGTGCTTGTCTGATGCCTGACTGTCCCTTTGCCAGCAGGGACACTTTCCACTATCCCACGTTGCTCCAAACCCCATCCAACCTGGCCTTGGACACTTCCAGGGATCCAGGGACAGCCACAGCCTCTCTGGGCAATGTATGCCAGGGCCTCATCACCCTCACAGGGAAGGATTTCTTCCCAATATCCAATCTGACCCCACCTTGTGTCAGTGGGAAGCCATTCCCCCTTGTCCTGTCACTCCATGCCCTTTTCCAAAGTCCCTCTCCAACTCTCCTGGAGCCCCATCAGCTCCTGGATGATGAACTGTTTGCCCTTGAAAGGATTGGGCTGGTGAGGGGATGTGAGATTGCATAGCTGGGGACACAAACACGGTGTCAGCAGGAAGAGAGGTGACAGTTCTGGTCCCAGGGCCAGCAGTTTCCAGCAGGAACATCCCAGATCCCTGAGGCACATGTCAGCCTGGGTGGGAATCATCTTGGAATTCACTGTAGGCTGCTGACACCAGGAAAGCTCTTGCATTGAAATCTTTGCTCTTTTGAAAGGAAGCTCAGGTAGGGAGTGGCCTGGGTGACACTGGAGACAAGCAAGGTGCTGGGAAGGAGAAAAAGTACATGGAAGGATCATGATCCTCCTGCACTTGCCCCTGGCTGAGTTGTTCTTCCCTGGACAAGAGGTCCCACCAACGAAAGTTTTGGGTTTCCAATGGACAGGATACCAGGAGTCAGGGAGGGAAAAACCCTCTTAGATATCAAAGTCTCTTCTGTTAATTTTTAACAACTCTGTTAATAAATGCTCCTTAGCTGTTTAACCTCATGTGTGTCTCCAAAGCTTGACTCCACACATGGTTTTCACTTTCGTTTCCCTTTCCAGAAGCAGTGGCACGTTGGTTTCCCCTGGATTTAAGGCAGTGGGCAAAGGAGGGACAACTTCCCCCTGAGCAAGAGCTGTGGCTGCTGCCCAGGTCTCTCCCAGGAGGAATCAGGAGCTCTTGGCAGTGCCAACATCATCCCAGCCATTGCAGGCACGTGCCTTAGGAAGGGCTCTGGTATGAGACAGGTAGCTGCCCTGCTCCCAGAGCAGCCAGAGGCTTTGGAATGGGATCAAAGAAGGAAATGAGCCATTTTGGACACTGTTTAACAGGGTCAGATGCTGCAATGAAGCCTGGTTGTTGAGTATTCAATAAATTCGGAGGGAACTACGACAGTGGCAAGAAACAAAAAACGTGAATCCAAATCTGATTGAGGGGTGATTACAAAATGACAAAGATCAGGACAGGCTGGACTGTGGCTGAAGCTGCTGTGCAGAGTGGCTGTGCAGCTCCTCCTGAGGGTGGCCAGGCTCAGGCTGGAGGTGCTCAAGGGCTTCCCTGGACACTGATGCTGGGGAACCAGAGGATGGATGGCCCCATTCTGCAGAAGAGCAGCACAACCCCCTAATTTCTGTGCAATTAAATGGTCCAAGCATCTGGTGAGGGGAATTTCCATATTCCATGTACTTTCTGGTACAGGCACAAAGGATCAGTGGAGCTCCCTATCGACCCTGCACTTTACTCAGAAGGATTTAGTTCTGGAATTCAAGAATGTGAGAAATTCCCACGGAAAGGATAGGGGAATGTTGCTGTCCCTCCCCAGCTCTGCAGCCCTTCCTGGTGTCCCTTCCCATCAGCTGGGAATGCAGGGCTGGCTCTGCTGGACAGAAGGGGAAGGATGCTCCCTGTGATCCCAACCCCTCTCCTGCCATCCAGAGGCACCAGCCCTGCAGGGATTTGGGAAATCACTGCCACCCTGTGCTGGGTGTGTCCCCAGGGATGAAGGTGTCCCATTCTTTGCAGGTAAGAGCTCCCTGAGAACACCATGGAACTCATCTGCTGAGGCAAAGGAGAGGGAGATCATTCCCTTGGGCCGAGGCCATGAGGGTGATTCCATGGGGAATGGAGCTGGGGAACAGCACTGAGCCCAGCTGCACTGCTTGGAGCCATGTGGATCCAGGAGGGAGGAGGAAAGCCATGCTGCAATGTGCTCCCTGCAGAGCATCCCACAAAATCACCCAAGGCAATGCCACTGCTCCCTTGTTCTGCAGGAATACAGCACCATGGGGAGGGTGATCCTGTGGATATTGATTAATCAGGAGATTAAAGGAAACCTTCAGCCTCCTTGGGGTCTCCTGGGGTCCTTCCGCAGAGCAGTGGAAGGGATCAGCAGGCTCAGAGCACTGTGTCCATGGCAGGATCATCGCTGTGGGCAGTGTTTTCTTCTGTCTCCTCAAAGACCCTCTTGAGGGAGAGCTGGAGGGACTTTTTGGAGAAGGGCCTCCAGCCCCTCCCTGCCAAGAAGTAGATGTAGGGTTTGATGCTGCTGTGGATGCAGGTGAGCAGGAAGACAACCTGTGAGGACAGAGCGATGTAACCGAGCTGCTGCAGGAAATTGCAGAGGCTGATGAGGAGAGTGAGGAGCACAGTGATGACAATAACGATGTCGCGCCTCTTGGGCTGCTGCTGCTGGGAGCCTCGCTTGGAATGAATGAAATTGATTGTGCCAGAAATTACCACGGGTGCAGCAAAGAGGAGCAGGATGAGGGTGTACATGGAGATGAGAGCTGCCCGGCAGTGCTCCTGCTCTTGTGATGGGCAAAAGAATGTCACTGTGGGAATGACAGTGAAGAGAGCCAAGATGGCCCAGTATGGGATAGTGTCCACCACCCACATCAGGCGCAGAGGAAGGTCACAGTGGCAGCAGAGCTTGCAGAGGTTGTGCATATACCACACAGGGATGCTGCTCATCAGCCTGAACAGCACCCAGTAGTAGGAGACCAATGACAACTGAAAAACAAAATTCATGTACATCAAGGGCACGACAGGAGAGCAGGACACGTCCTCCACCAGGATGAGGAGGGCAGAGGGGATCACAAAGAGGAGGAAGAGCAAGTCAATGACAGCCAGGTCAAAGAAGGCAGCGTTCCCTCTTTTCAGGTTGAGGAGGCCGATGACAGCCCCGTTCCCAGCCAGCCCACAGAGGCAGATGAGCAGGGTCACACTGTGTATGGGCACATCGGTGACATCGATAACACAGACATTGACTCCTTCAGTGGGTGAGGCAGGAGATGGGGACACGGTGGTCACCTCCATGGATGGACACTGGGCAGGCAGTGGGATGTGGCCCCTGGCTGTGGTCAGAGTGGATGGGCAGTCAGTGCTTGGAGAATCCAGGGATGGACCATGTGGCTCCTCAGCAGCTGCCTGCAGTGGGAAGGATTCAGTGGGGAGGAGTGACACGTGAAGCTGAAGAGGCCAGTGGGAATGGTGGGATGGGAGAGGGAGGAGGGAGGATGTGCTGGTGTGCAGGGGATTGATAAATTAGAGAGAATAAACATTTTCAACTCTCCTAAGGTTGCCTGAAGACTAACTGGGCAAATAGATAAAAATATGTGAAGGCGTGGACCCTGTGTGATAGACGTGCCTGGAGCCAGAGCTGAAACAGATAAGGAGGTCGGCATTATTTCTGAGGCAAGTTCTGTAACAAGAAGCAAGAGCACATGGCCAAAGGAAAAGTTCAGGGCAGGGTCACCTTAGATATCACAGCACTCAGTGAATACAACCACCAGAAGCCCCTCTTAATGACCCTCCAGGGCCATCAGAGGACTCGCAGTAGGAAGTGGATGAAGGGAAATTAGTTCTAGGAGAGTGGTATTTACCTTTATGTTTAAGGTGTTCTCTAGAAAAGAAAAACTTTTTAATGTCTATGTATGGTTATAATGAATAAAAACACGGTTGTAAAATCTCACAACACTCACAGAAATAATGAGTGCTCCTTCTGCATGTCCTGCTGCCTAATACTTCCCTTGGTAACAACATAAGGTGGGGTTAGGACTTCTTCAGACAGAACTTCATTCCATCTGATTTTGGCATCACTCCCCAGGCCATGCCATGCCATGCCATGCCATGCCATGCCATGCCATGCCATGCCATGCCATGCCATGCCATGCCTTGCCATCCCAATGGGTTCCCAGTCCCTGGCCACTCCCTGGCTGCCGGTGTGGCCTGTTGGGCTCTGCTGCTGTCCAGTGGGAGATTTGGGATTGGTGGCACCCAGAGCCCTCCTGGCCCCTCTCAAGCCCCTGTGTGCCTGATGCCTTGGGCTGGCTCCCTGGAACAGAGGCCAGACCAGGTGAAGAGAATAAAAGGAGGCATTGATGAAAGGCCTTCAAAAGGTTCACCCTGGGCACTCCAAGCCATCCCTGTAGTGCCTGTTGTTTGTGTCCAAAGGAGGCTGGGGGGCTGGACACCAGGGATGGAGCTGGGGAGGGGAATCTCCAAGAGAAACACGGCCCCAAAGGCTTCCAGGGCAGCTTGGGGTGAGCAGCCCGTGGGGAGGGACTGGAGCCTCAGGCACGGGGCTGGGAGGGATGGGAAGGATGGGAGGGGGGTGGGCTGCATGGGGAGTGGGATGGGAGGGTGGTGTGGGAGGGCTGGGACATGATGGAGCTGCTGGGAAGATGTGGTGGGAAGGTGTGGGGTGTGGTGGGGCTGGAGAGAAGGTGTGGGGTGTGGTGGGGCTGGAGAGAAGGTGTGGGGTGTGGTGGGGCTGGTGACCTCAGGGAAGCCCCAGGGAGGGGGGTGATGCCCCGTGGAGCCCATGGTGACAAGCACAGGTGTCACCCTGCTCCTGGAAGGGGGTGGCTGTGCTGAGGAGCACGGCCTCCTCCTCTCCTTGCTGCTGCACCACCTGAGCCTGCTGAGGGAGCAGCTGCAGGCAGTGGAGAGGAAGAATTTCTGAAGGCAGAGACACCTTTGCTCCTGGCTGACAAAATTGAAAAGTAAAGATCTCTGGGGAGATCTCTGCTGTGACACTGACAGAGCACTCGGGGTGGGGAATGCTGAGCCCCTGGGCCATCGTGTCCGTGCCAGCTCAGCTCTGGATCATGGTTGCTGCAGGGAGCACAAGCCATGGCTGTGTCCCCTCTGAAACCAAGACATTTTAAGTCTGACAGCAAAAGCGTGTTAGACTAGTAACAATTTTGAGTCAAAATTGTGAACATATTGGAAATTTATTTGCCATAGATATGTCCAAAGAAACAACACTTTTCAGGCATTTTTATGCATTATAATATCCCAGAGTTTTTACAGATACTCCCAAATATGGTCCCAATATTTACATCATAGTATAGGTGTTTTGTTTCTTTTATATACTACCAAAATATGCCATCAATCTTAGTTAAATGGATAACGTGGGGTTTTTTCCAGTAAACAATGTTTTATTAAATTTGATGTACAAGCCTAGGAAATGGCTCTCTTATTGCCATTGCAATTTATGTCTTGCAATTTTTTAATTACATCTTTTGGTATGTATAGGCCTCTGAAATACTAAACCTCTCAAGATACCATTCTTATTCTATGACATCCAATTAGTTCTAGTTGTATGATAACCATTAAAAGTACTTTATTGATTTTTGTTCTCCATCTATTGAGTAAGTTCTCTATGGGGTATGCGCTGATAAAGTTTTCTACTGACACTCAACCAACACAGATCTAAATCAAAACCAGCTAAAATGCACAGTCAAATATGCCTTGACTCATTAAACATAGTTCATTACAGAAATTTCTAAACAATCACAGAATTCCTGGCTAACTACCTCTCTGTTCCCTCCCTCCAGCCACATTCCTGCCTGGCAGCAGCAGCCAGAGGAAGCCAGGAAGCGCTGGCAGAGGAGGCAAAGGCAGCTCAGGGTTCATGGTGCTGTTTATTGGTATCAGAGCTCAGTGGGATGCAGGAAGCAGATGCCAGGGGGAATTTTGGGGTCACAGCTGTGTTGGGAAGGATTCTTTTGGGGGTAAAGTGCTCTAGGACCTGTGAGGGAGAAGCAAATCCATGCTCCAATGTGCTCTGTGCAGAGCATGCCTCCCACATGGCCCCTGCCACTGCCTCTGCTCCCTTTCCCTGCAGGAATAAGGGTGGGAGGGTGATCCTAAGTCCCTGCCCCATGGTCCTGCATGGGGGCACTTGAAGGGTTCAAGAGGCTCAGGTCCCCGTGTCCCTGGTGGCATCATTACTGGGGACAGTGCTCCCTTCTGGCTCCTCAAAGACCCTCTGGAGGCACTCCCTGAGGGACCCCATGGAGCAGTTCCTCCAGCACTTTGTTACTGAGATGTAGATGAAGGGGTGGATGCTGCTGTGCATGCAGGCCAACAGGAGAACAAGCTGGGGGGACACAGTGGTGTAGCCGAGCTGCTGCAGGAAATTCCAGAGACTGAGGGGGAGAGTGAGGAGCACAGCGAGGAAGACAATGATGTCAAGCCTCTTGGATTGCTGCTGCTGGGAGCTAGCCTTGAAGTGAATGAAGAGGATTGTGCTGGAAATGACGATGGATGGAGCAAAGACGAGGAAGTTGAGGATGTACAGGGAGATGAGAGCCCCCTGGCAGAGCTTGTGTTCCTGTGACTGGCACAGGGAATTCACCGCAGAAATGGCAGCGATGACAGTGATGGAAAGGGCCCAGAGCACAGCACTGACCACCACCCATGAGAGGTCCTGGGGAAGGTGGCAGAAGAGCCCAGGTGGGAAGAGCATGGACCTGCCCCTCTCGATGCTGATGGAAATCAGCCGGTACAGCCCTACGCTGTGGAACATCCGGAAGAGGAGGAAAAGGAAGTTTATGGATGCTGGGGGCATGATGGAGGAGCAGGAGAAATCCTCCAGCAGGAAGAGCAGAGTGGAGGGGACCATGAAGATCAGGAAGATGAAGTTGATGATGGCCAGGTCAAGGATGTAGGCAGTGATGGGTTTCATGGTGTCCCTGTGGATGCGGAACCCGAGGACCCAGATGACAGCCCCGTTCCCAGCCAGCCCACAGAGGCAGATGAGCAGGGTCACACTGTGTATGGCCACGCTGGTGACATCTGTCTCACAGAGATGATCTCCTTCAGTGGGTGAGGCAGGAGATGGGGACACGGTGGTCACCTCCATGGATGGACGCTGGGCAGGCAGTGGGATGTGGCCCCTGGCTGTGGTCAGAGTGGATGGGCAGTCAGTGCTTGGAGAATCCAGGGATGGACCATGCGGCTCCTCAGCAGCTGCCTGCAGTGGGAAGGATGTGGGAGGAGGAGGACTGGGGAGGTGGGAGATGTGCAGGGGAGGAGGGCGGTGGAAATTGTGGGGTGGGAGAGGGAGGTGGGAGGGTTGGGCTGGTTAGAAAGAGGCTGATAAATAACATAGAGAATAAACATTTTCAGCTCTTCTGAAGTTGTTCCAAAGCAATGTGGCCAAAATTTTAAAGGATGTGTTACAGATGGATAATGAGATGACTGGATCTAACAGTTAAGGGATGAATACTGTGTGAATATTAAGAGAAACTTCATTGATATATAATTATGTTATTGTAGTCTGTTGTTTAGATGTCCCCTGTTCTCCCCATAGTCCCCTTCTCTCCCCTCTGTCCTCTTTCCATCAGAGAGCCTGAGTCATCTAGGACAGGTAGAAAGTTGGGGTGTACAGAAGCTTGTTGCTGGGCGGGGAAGAGGTGCAGCATGAGAACAGCTGACCCTCGAGTCAAGTTGCAAGAGAGCAGGCTCCAGCAATAAACACAAAGAAGGGCTGAGTGACAGACTTTGGGAGGGGCCAGGTTTAGCTGATGCAACCCCCAGGGTATCAGAGGTGAAGCATCCATCTTGAAGATCAGCCAGACACGTGGTGGGCAGCCATGAGGAAGCTCCCAGGCCTGCTTCTGATTATTCAGTCCTTTTGTTGCATTTTTTGTTAAGGTTTAATGAAACTTTCAAAATTTAAAAAAGTGGATGGTTGTTTCTCACAGGATGTGAAGGCTGGCACACAGGATGGCAAACATGGCAGGAACCAGTGCAGAAACAGATAAGGAGGCCTGCAGTGGTTTTGGGGTAAATTCTGGAACAGGAAGCAACAGTGCATGGCCAGAGGAAAAGTTCAAGGCAAGGGCACCTTTAATATGGCAGCATTCATTGAATATGACCACCAGAGAGACCGTGCTTAATAAACCTCCAGGATCATGAAAGGACTTGCAGGAGGAGATGGATGCATGGAAATGAGTTCTAGGAAAATGGTGCTTATTTATTAGAAAAGAAAAACTTTTCAAAGCCTACATGTGCTTCTAATGGATTAATACCCTGTTGTACAGTCTCACCATACACACAATACAAGGAGAGATCCCTCTGTGTCCTGTGCAGGTCAAGAATTCCTGCTTCCTCATGCTCTGCATTGTGTTAGAAAGTTTGTTCTGGCCCATTTCAGTATTAGGACACAGACGGGATGCACAGGAGGAGAGAGAGGAGCTGGGGAGGGCCCTGGGGTCAGCGGGAGAGGGTGGCAGGAACAGAGCAGCTGCTGCAGGAGAGGAAGGTGGGGTAGGGAGGAAGGCCAACATTCCACTGACCTGTTCCCTGTGGGGCAGCAGCAGGCAAAGGGCTCTGTGCAGATCAGCGGCGCTTCCTGGTGCCTCTTGCTCCTTTGGGATCCATGTCCTAAGGCGGCTCCTGGCAGGTCAGGGACATGAAGGAGAAAGTGCCCAGGTCACCAGGAGCTCCCCATTCCTGTCCTGCTGGCTCCTCTCTGTGCCCTGCCGTCGTGTTGTTTCCCAAGGCGTGGCAGGAGAGTCGGAAGTTTAATCTTTGGCTACATCAGAATTTCCCTTCCTGTGAGTTTTTTGTCTTGACCATATTCCTACCATAGCGGAAGTAGCTCTACATGCAGATTTCTTTAAAAGCCACTTTCCTGGGATCCTTCAGCAGAGCAGTGGGAGGGATCATCAGGCTCAGACCCCGTGTCCATGGCAGGATCATCGCTGTGGGCAGTGTTTTCTTCTGGCTCTTCAAAGACCCGGTGGAGGGAGAGCTGGAGGGACTTTATGGAGCAGAGCCTCCAGCTCCTCCCCACCAAGAAGTAGATGAAGGGTTTGATGCTGCTGTGGATGCAGACGAGCAGGAAAACAACCTGGGAGGGCACAACAATATAATCGAGCTGCTGCAGGAAGTTCCAGAGGCTGAGGAGGAGAGTGAAGAGCACAATGAGGAAGGTAACGATGTCGCGCCTCTGGAGTTGCTGCTGCTGGGAGCCCCACTTGGCCTTAATGAAATCGACTGTGCTGGAAATGAGCATGGGTGCAGCCAAGAGGAGCAGGATGATGGTGTACATGGAGATGAGAGCTGCCCTGCAGTGCTCCTGCTGGTGTGATGGGCACAGGAATGTCACCGTGGGCATGACAGTGAAGAGAGCAAAGAAGGCCCATAATTGGACACTGATCACCACCCACACCAGGCGCTCGGGAAGCTCACAGCGGAAGCAGAGCCTGATGAGCTTGCGCATATACCACTCATCACTGATGCGCATCAGCCAGAACAGCCCCCAGTACAGGGACACCACTGAAAACTGGAAGAGGAAACTCAGGTAGAGCACGGGCAGGATAGGAGAGCAGGACACGTCCTCCACCAGGAAGAGGAGGGCAGAGGGGACCGCAAAGAGGAGGAAGAGGAAGTCCATGACAGCCAGGTCAAAGAAGTCAGCGTTACGGCTTTTCAGGCTGAGGAGGCCGATGACAGCCCCGTTCCCAGCCAGCCCACAGAGGCAGATGAGCAGGGTCACACTGTGTATGGCCACACTGGTGACATCTCTCTCACACAGATGATCTCCTTCAGTGGGTGAGGCAGGAGATGGGGACATGGTGCTCACCTCCATGGATGGACGCTGGGCAGGCAGTGGGATGTGGCCCCTGGCTGTGGTCAGAGTGGATGGGCAGTCAGTGCTTGGAGAATCCAGGGATGGACCATGCAGCTCCTCAGCAGCTCCTGCAGTGGGAAGGATTCAGTTGGGAGGAGTGAGATGTGCAGGGGAGGAGGGTGGTAGAAATGGTGGGGTGGGAGAGGGAGGAGGGAGGGTTGGTCTGTTCGGTAGGAGGCTGATAAATAACAGAGAAAATAAACATTTTCAGTCCTTCTGAAGTTATTCAAAAGCAAAGTGGCCAAAATTTAGAACGATGTGTTATAGATGGATAATGAGATAATTGGCTCTCACATTTAAGGGATGAATGCTGTGTGAATATTTAGAGAAGCTTTATTGATATATAAGTATGTTATTGTATAAATGCTGTTTAGATGTCCCCTGTTCTCCCCATAGTCCCCTTCTCTCCCCTCTGTCCTGTTTCCATCAGAGAGCCTGAGTCATCTAGGACAGGTAGAAAGAAGGGGTGTACAGAAGCTTGTTGCTGGGGGGGGAAGAGGTGCAGCATGAGAACACCTGACCCTCCAGTCAAGTTGCAAGAAAGCAGGCTCCAGCAATAAACACAAAGAAGGGCTGAGTGACAGACTTTGGGAGGGGCCAGGTTTAGCTGATGCAACCCCCAGGGTATCAGAGGTGAAGCATCCATCTTGAAGATCAGCCAGACACGTGGTGGGCAGCCATGAGGAAGCTCCCAGGCCTGCTTCCCCTTATATATTCCTTTTGTTGCATTTTTTATTAAGGTTTATTAACCATTTAAAATTTTAAAAAGTGGATGGTTGTTTCTCAGAGGATGTAAAGACTGGCACACAGGATGACAAACATGGCAGGAACCAGTGCAGAAACAGATCAGGAGGCCTGCAGTGGTTTTGGGGTAAATTCTGGAACAGGAAGCAACAGTGCATGGCCAGAGGAAAAGTTCAAGGCAAGGGCACCTTTAATATGTCAGCATTCATTGAATATGACCACCAGAGAGACCCCTCTGAATAAACCTCCAGGATCATAAAAGGACTTGCAGGAGGAGGTGGATGCATGGAAATGAGTTCTAGGAAAATGGTGTTTGTGTATTAGAAAAGAAAAACTTTTCAAAGCCTACATGTGGTTCTAATGGATTAATACCCTGTTGTAAAGCCTCACCATACACACAATACAAGGAGAGATCCCTCTGTGTCCTGTGCAGGTCAAGAATTCCTGCTTCCTCATGCTCTGCACTGTGTTAGAATGTTTGTTCTGGCCCATTTCAGTGTTAGGACACAGACGGGATGCACAGGAGAAGAGAGAGGAGCTGGGGAGGGCCCTGGGGTCAGCGGGAGAGGGTGGCAGGAACAGAGCAGCTGCTGCAGGAGAGGAAGGTGGGGTAGGGAGGAAGGCCAACATTCCACTGACCTGTTCCCTGTGGGGCAGCAGCAGGCAAAGGGCTCTGTGCAGATCAGCGGCGCTTCCTGGTACCTCTTGCTCCTTTGGGATCCATGTCCTAAAGCGGCTCCTGGCAGGTCAGGGACATGAAGGAGAAAGTGCCCAGGTCACCAGGAGCTCCTCACTCCTGCCCCACTGGCTCCTCTCCATGCCCTGTCCTTGTGTTGCTCCTCCAGGCTCAGTGGGGTGACAGGGCAGTCGGAAGTTGTTTTACAGCTTTGGGTGTGTCAGAGCTCCACTCCCTCTCAGGTTTTTATCTTGAATATTTTTTTTCTTTGCCACAACGGAATTGGATTTGTCAAAAGTCCACATGAAGAGTTTTGCAAATGGCTCCTCATTTCCTTCTGATTAGAAACACTCCTTCCCTGCAGAATGTCCCATACTCCAACCTCCTTCTCTCTCTCTCTACCATTCCATGTTTCTCTTCCCTGAGGGGTCATTTTCTGTCCAGCAGCAGAGGGATGCTGGTGGTGCTGGTGCCACTGGAATGCTGCTGGCAGTGCTGGCAGTGCTGGTGAAGCATCTGGTTGCTTGTCAGAAACTGCTCCCATTCTGGGAAGAGCTCCAGAACCACTGCCAAAACCTCCCCTGTTCCCAAGGAAGCACAAATGAGGGAAGAATTCCCATTTTTGCATTCTCCCCCAGGCTCACAGAGCCCAAGGGAAGGACAGCACTCAGTTGCTTGCAGCCAGGCTATCAGCACTTGGAGCCCACCCTGATTACTGCCAACGCCCTTGATGATGCAATGAAAGCTATCAGGGACCAGGGTGCTGTGAACCCCCTGCCAGCCCTTCACCAGAGCTGCTCCTGCTCCTCCTCAGTCCTGGGAACACTTGGGCTTGTTTTTGTGCTTGTCTGATGCCTGACTGTCCCTTTGCCAGCAGGGACACTTTCCACTATCCCACGTTGCTCCAAACCCCATCCAACCTGGCCTTGGACACTTCCAGGGATCCAGGGACAGCCACAGCCTCTCTGGGCAATGTATGCCAGGGCCTCATCACCCTCACAGGGAAGGATTTCTTCCCAATATCCAATCTGACCCCACCTTGTGTCAGTGGGAAGCCATTCCCCCTTGTCCTGTCACTCCATGCCCTTTTCCAAAGTCCCTCTCCAACTCTCCTGGAGCCCCATCAGCTCCTGGATGATGAACTGTTTGCCCTTGAAAGGATTGGGCTGGTGAGGGGATGTGAGATTGCATAGCTGGGGACACAAACACGGTGTCAGCAGGAAGAGAGGTGACAGTTCTGGTCCCAGGGCCAGCAGTTTCCAGCAGGAACATCCCAGATCCCTGAGGCACATGTCAGCCTGGGTGGGAATCATCTTGGAATTCACTGTAGGCTGCTGACACCAGGAAAGCTCTTGCATTGAAATCTTTGCTCTTTTGAAAGGAAGCTCAGGTAGGGAGTGGCCTGGGTGACACTGGAGACAAGCAAGGTGCTGGGAAGGAGAAAAAGTACATGGAAGGATCATGATCCTCCTGCACTTGCCCCTGGCTGAGTTGTTCTTCCCTGGACAAGAGGTCCCACCAACGAAAGTTTTGGGTTTCCAATGGACAGGATACCAGGAGTCAGGGAGGGAAAAACCCTCTTAGATATCAAAGTCTCTTCTGTTAATTTTTAACAACTCTGTTAATAAATGCTCCTTAGCTGTTTAACCTCATGTGTGTCTCCAAAGCTTGACTCCACACATGGTTTTCACTTTCGTTTCCCTTTCCAGAAGCAGTGGCACGTTGGTTTCCCCTGGATTTAAGGCAGTGGGCAAAGGAGGGACAACTTCCCCCTGAGCGAGAGCTGTGGCTGCTGCCCAGGTCTCTCCCAGGAGGAATCAGGAGCTCTTGGCAGTGCCAACATCATCCCAGCCATTGCAGGCACGTGCCTTAGGAAGGGCTCTGGTATGAGACAGGTAGCTGCCCTGCTCCCAGAGCAGCCAGAGGCTTTGGAATGGGATCAAAGAAGGAAATGAGCCATTTTGGACACTGTTTAACAGGGTCAGATGCTGCAATGAAGCCTGGTTGTTGAGTATTCAATAAATTCGGAGGGAACTACGACAGTGGCAAGAAACAAAAAACGTGAATCCAAATCTGATTGAGGGGTGATTACAAAATGACAAAGATCAGGACAGGCTGGACTGTGGCTGAAGCTGCTGTGCAGAGTGGCTGTGCAGCTCCTCCTGAGGGTGGCCAGGCTCAGGCTGGAGGTGCTCAAGGGCTTCCCTGGACACTGATGCTGGGGAACCAGAGGATGGATGGCCCCATTCTGCAGAAGAGCAGCACAACCCCCTAATTTCTGTGCAATTAAATGGTCCAAGCATCTGGTGAGGGGAATTTCCATATTCCATGTACTTTCTGGTACAGGCACAAAGGAT